CACCTATATCATATCTAGAACAAGCATACATCTTTTAAAGCACAGAAGGCATTCTCTTGGTAAATATGTTTATTTATTGTTGGAGCATCGCCTAATGTGCCAGTGGGCTTCGAGGCAGACAGCTCACTGTGGACGCCTTTGCTCTGCCTGAGAGTGCTGCTGGAGAACAAAGTGCCTGTGGCCTCAGCGAAGTCGTTGAACTCCGGCTGCTGAGTATCATTCCAGGGGGGGTTGTGGATGATCAAGGTTGTTTATTGCTTCCCCCCACTTCTGGGATAGGGAATCTTTTCCCCTACGGGGGGGTTAGTCTTTGGGAAGCCCTCTTTGTGGTATCACAGTGGTGGTCATTTCCCACAGCCCTGCCTTAAAGTGATCATTTTCAGGGGTTCTCGAACATACTTTTGGGGGGTTGGTCTCATTTCAAGCCATTTAGAGGGTTTGTGTGTGCATGTCACTTTTGACCCAGTTGCCCCAGTAATGTCTTGCTTGGCTGCATTTAGGGACCTGGGCAGCAGGAACCAAGCAGACCGAACTATCTGGAAGCACACAACCTGGTTCAAGTATGACTGAAGGAAGGGTTCCTTTCTGGGATTGGCGGATTTGCTTGCATTCAGACATGACCCTAAGGAGATTGGTAAAGAGCAATCTGGTGAGAAGCCCAACTAATTGCCGGACGATCTCAAGACTCAAGACTACTGCTTGTTTGGTTCGAACGATCAGAGTCCACCATGGCCAAGCAAAACTCAGCCAGACTCTCCCTGTAAACAAAGCCGAAAGGGGCATTTCTGTGGGGGACCGAGCTCGCCGGTTTGGTCCCATTTCTCCGGTTTGTGGGGGAGGGGGGGGAGCCGAGTCAAGGATCCTTCAAGTGTCCGGATGAGTGATAGCCACGGCCTCAGCTCGTGACCCAACTTCTAGTCACCAAAGTCCGCCGCCCTGGTTGCCCAGGAATCATAGTGGCAACTGGGAGCCCCTGAGTGACAAGCGCGGTGATAGTTTCTCTTGCTTGAAGGAGGACATGCAGCCCCTTTCTCTGTAGGGGCGGAAACACTGCAAGTTTTGCAGTGTGTGTGGGAGGCTAGGGGGAAAGCTAGAAACCACGTCTCGCACGGGAACCACCTTGCCTTGCCTTTCTATCCTTTCTCCCACAGGATCGGATCTTCTTCAATCTGCGAGGCTAGGAGCCGCAATGAAAAGAGTTTTGCAGGCGAAACAGGAAGTTATTTTCCGAATCCTAATGGAAGGGCTATATGGAATAAAGCTTTTAGTTTCCAAAGCTTTCCTGCAAGCCTCGGAATCCTCTCCACGTTCGAGCACAATCAAATAGTTAAATCATAGCAATGCAACATAAAGCCGTACAACATCACCTCTGCATCCGAAGTTGCTGCAGGTGTACTGCATTCCCAACAGCGGCTGACACGACTGGATACCACCTCTGGCTTGGTCTTGCTCCATCGCTACCGGATGTTGATGTCCACCAACAGGTCCGGGGTCAGAAGGAAAGAAACCAGCATCACGAATTAAAATCTTCTGGACCCTCCACAGTCCCTGAACAATGCGGTTATTGCCCCAAAACTATGGGGGTGACGTCTCTTTGTTCATCGGTCGGTTTGACTTCATTTGCTGAAATGAATATTTGTTATTCTCCCTGGTTGTAAAAGGAATCGATTCCACTGGAAACTCATGGGTATGGGTCAAAATGAAGTCACCCGGGGTCTGCAGGTTTTAGTCTACTGTTCAATTTATCGTTCCATTTTTCGGTACCAAATTTTGACCCACAGCCATATGGCCATGGGTCAAAAGCCCGTACCCCCAGTGAACATCCCAATCACCACTAACATAGACTGACATGGGTGGTGCACCTACCCCAAAATGGGATCCCATTGGTTTTGACCCACAGCCATATGTTCTCAGATTTTCTCCAGGGGAAAAACGCACAGGTGGGTCCATGTCCCAGGATTCCGAATCGGACTCGCGAGGCGAGGAGTTCTGGGCGGACGCCCAGGCGGTACGTGCCAGCCTGCTGGGCGCTCGAAGTGGGCGAGGGCGGGCTGAAATTTCTTGTGGGGTCTGCTAGGTCCCCCAACTAGGTGCCCTTTCTCACCTTTTTGGTTGGGAGGGTTCCCCTAAAATAGACAAAACCAAGAAAAATAGATTGGTCGCCTTATTCTAAGCTCGTAAAATCTGGAGGACCTGGACCGAGCAGGTTGCCTTTGGGAGCCTTTGGGAGCTGGGGGGTATCCACATTTGCCCGAGCCTTTGGGGAGCCAGGAGATCAAGCGCATAGTCTAAGCCGTTTTTCAGGGTGGCGTCCCATTTTTTTGGGGGGGGTCCTCCCTCCAAAAGTGAAGAAGCACCCCTAAAAGGGGGCACCTGTCTATTGAATCAACCGGGGGTTTATTCATCCGGGGTTTCCCAGTATCCTTTAAAAACACACCCCTCAATTGGGTCTGCTGCATTTGTGTGAGAAGATCGATGGGATATTGCGTGTGCAATGTTTAAACAAAGGCTTCATTCAATATTGCGGGTAGTGGGGTGTCTGAAAAATTAAGCAAGTTATGAACATGACCGGTTTTTGTCCTAAGTCGTTGACATGGGATTCCGGGGCACCTTCAAAGTAAGCCAGGCATGTTTGTTCCAGAACCAGACCACCTGTTCTTTTGGCTGGGCCGGCGCAGCCGCTAAGAGTTGGATCGGACCTTCCGGATACTCTTCACTAAGAATGGCGCCAACCATATGTCCAAAACCTTCCAGCCTCCAACCAGTCACTCCCCGAGTTGCGTTTCTGACTTTAGTCACTTTTTGGGTTTGGACCATTTTAGTGGTAAACACCAGGTTTTATGACTTTTCTGGCCAATGCACTCGATCTGAGGTGCGACTAGGGCCTATGCTTTTCCCAGCCGATGGCGTCGCAAAAAACAGCCTTGAGGCCCTCCATGCTATCCAGCCTGCTGCGCATGGTCCGCAAGCTGCTGCCAGACACGTGGCTCGGACGACTCGCCGAAAGAAGTCCCAACTCGGGCCGCATTCCCAGGAGTAAATTAAAGGGAGGGTACATAGGTGTCCTTTTTAAGAAGTAGATGGGTTCAGCTGGTTTAGATGGGTTGCATTCCATTTACCGGGGCCATCTGCATTGCCTGAAGGACACCTATGGCAGGGTAGATCACAGTTCTTTGCATTGGTTTGGGTTGGCCATGTGAATGCCAGGTCCGCTTACGAGGGTTGGGGGTTTGGAAGGAACCTCTGGTGGGTCGCATCCAAGGTTTGATCGCAAGCGCGAAGCAAGGCCTCAACACCTGCCATGTGCCGAGAATCCCTCCTTGGGGTGTCTAATGTTTGAGGATTCAGCCCCCCCCCCAAGCAACCGAGAACTCTACATGAGTTTGTCCGTTTGTTTAGAGGATTCCCCAAAACGACGGTCCTTGCCAACTCCCAAAAGGAGCCACTGGGGCGCGCGAAAAAGTGGCTTGGGGCTTGCAACGAAGCGTTTTGGTTTCCTGTTAAAAGAGGAGAGCGAGGAGGGTAAGCATATGGCCGTGGGTCAACACCAATGGTACCATTTTGGGGTAGGTGCACCACCCATTTTAGTCTGTTTGAGTGGGGATTGGGATGTTCACTGGGGGTAGGGTTTTGACCCATAGCCATATGAGTGTAGACAACTTTATTCACAGGAATGACTGCAGAAGCTAGCTGGTACTGAGACGAAAGCGGACATTTCAGCATGGTAACGTTTTGCGCTGTTTTCGGTATTTCTTGCATGTTATCTATAGTTGCACCTTGATTTTCATGCCCAACCTATTAACACAGATTATCAAAACAGTAAATACACAAGTAAACACAAATATATGAAAGTAGCATAAATGCGATAAAACCAACTTATATGCCACTTCTGGAGAGCTTGAAACATAAGTACAAGATACTGTCCATATCCTCCAACCAAGCCAGGCAGTACAACAAAAAAACATGCGGAATGTCATGCTTGTACTCGAAGCTTTGGAGATATCATATTTCCTGATGAACGCAACCCTATTCTGATAAGGACCGCAGATTCCAATGACGAATCCAGAAAATAGCAATAGATTCCCCGGCCTTTAGGTTTACTACATTTCAACTAGTGAAGGAGCAATACAATGGACAGGAGAAACTCTATTTGAGTTTTCAACCACCTGTTAAATTCAATTCGCATGTTACTTTATGTTCATCGTTGTTCCTCCCCTGTATACTCAAAACCATTGTATGAACATAGTATTTCAACAGTCCGAAGACGGAAACGGCTTTTGACTTGTTGGCTTCCAATCCTCAAAAGACGACTCATTTGCTGCTATAGAGACTGTAAAGCACCGACACAAACACGGTATTTTACACCGTGCTCAGGCATGTGAAAGAAAGAGGCACGCAGAGTAGACATGGCTCCTACCACCAAGAATCCGAGGGAGGGGGGGACTTTGTACATGTATATATGGCTGTGGCTAAAAAACCGGTGCCAAAACGGAACCCTGGTAAGTGGAAACATGGAGCAAAACCTGCGTAACGCCTGCTGTTTAATTTTGAGCCACACCCATATACATAGAGATAGAATATATATATATATATATATATATATATATACGCGACCTGTGACCTGTACTTTGTTGGCTTCCAGGTGTCGTTCACGGTTCCAAGTGCATGTGTCAAACGGTGGGACCTTTGCGGATTTAAATTCCAAAAGGAATTCAACCAAAAGGCTAGCTTTGACGCAGAAATCAGTTGCAACTTTTCATTCGGCCGGGCTCGAAGAATAACATTTCAAAACAAGTTTTGGGTTCTGACCTGGTTTCAAGGCGGCCCAAAGGTCTTGGTCAAACAAGCTGTTGAAGCCTGTTGCTTTGACAGCCTTTCATATGAACTGTTTAAACAAGACATGCGTGACACGCTGAATCTTAGTGGGTTCCAACTGCGGCACACGCCCGAGATTCGCCTTGTTTGGCCTATCCCCCATGGTGATGGTTGCCCCTGCAGCGATGTCGCCGGTGCTCCGAACCCGATCGGTGGGCCTTTGAATCGCCGGCTTGCCTTGGCGGCTTGGTATTCAGTGCACCTGGCCCCTCAGACTAGCCATATTAAAAAATACAACAAATATCAAAAAAAAAACACCAACCATCATTTTGGGGCGCGAGTCACCATGATTTTTACAGAAGTGTTCAACGTCCAAGCATGTATATTGTTGTTGATCACTCCGAACATGGAGAACCCTTATTTGGTTTTTTGCCGCGGGGACGTGCGGGGACGTGTGTTTCGTTGAAGCCTCTTGGCTTGTTTTGGTCTTTCTCAATAGTCTCGGGTTGCGGCCTTTTCTCTTCGTCTCGTGGCTGTGCTTGACCAAAAAAAGGCAAATACGCAGGTTGCGAGCCTTTTGGGGGGAAGAGAACCAGCGAATTCGTGGAGGCTCCAGGGGTACCTTCCATTTCCATTCTTTCCAGGGATCCTTCTTTCTAGAAAAACCTCCGGAAACCCAGGTTGAACGCGGATCCGGTGTTTGAAAAGACCGATGCTTCAAAGGAAGGGTGGAAATCAAGCCCTAGAGCCGTGTCAAACTTTTCGGGACCCGCGAACACGGCCGCACCAAGTTCCAACAAGGAACCCTCCCTGGTACATGGAAACATGGACCACCTGCAAAACCACTGGTCTTTTTGGCGGTTTGGTCCGCTGGTCTCATTTTGACCAAGCCGCCACTTCGGCCATGGGACGTGGCGCCGAAGTCTTTGGCCCAGGTTTTGCTTGGCGGCGCCGGAGGGCTCCGGCCTCCAGGAGGCCGGGGGCCGCGGGATTTTTTTTTTCTCCGGCGGTGAAGCTGGGAGAGATGCACCGGGCCCGGCTTTTTTGCTTTTGGGCCCGTTTTTTTTTTGTAGCGGACGGCGAAACTGGGAGGGAATGAAGGTACACATATTCGGATTTTTGCGTTGTTCTTTATTGTTGTGGATGGTTTAGCCATGCCCTAAGCTGATTTGCACGACTGCCCTCCCTTCCATTGACGTGGCACTTGACAGGAAATGGGTCCCTTCAAGAGTTGATGTGTGAGTGGGAGGGAGGGTAAACCAAGGGAGTCAAGGTATCGCACTTTCCTCATGTTTTGGCCATCCCTACTCAGATGAAAGCCCAGATGGTTTCCGGCCACCCCAGGGGCGGAAGGGGAGGGTGAATGGGATGGCCTAGCCAGAAGTTGGTCCAGTTGCAGGGGCCCAGATTGCTCGTGAAACAGCGCCGAAAGAGAAAGAGTACTCAGTGCGTTGAACCTTCGTGTGAGGGGGGGACAGCTGGAGAAGCAATCATCAAGTAAATTCATGTCTGGGTATAGCGCCCTTTAGAGCGGTTCCAAGCATTGAGAAGGCATGGTCCCCTGGAGAAGCCTCGGGGATGGAGGTCCACACCCTCGAATAAAACACCAAGCCACCGCTAACGTGTGGTCAATGGCGTACAAGTTCTGCACCAGCTTAAACGCGATATTGTTTTGGAGTTGCTTTACGAACCAGGTGACCAACTGTATTTGGGTGTTCGGGCAAGTTAGTAAGTTGTTGGTAACCTAGGTTATAGCGCATCTATAAGTCCCCCACAATAGGGTTGATCTTGGTTGTTAGAGGGTTATACCCCAAGTGGCTAACCATTTGCTAGCTTGGCCGAACATCCAAGTAGGGAGCTAACCCCGGAGAGATTCGGAAAGGGGTGGTCCCTTTGAGATCACGGCCTTTGAACAAGTCCCCCCCCGGCACAAAGACATGAAAGGAGCAAATGGCTAGGACGACATCAAAGTCCGGCACCTTCAATTGCGAGGGCTTTAAGTGAGGGTCCATCTCAGCCCATGTTTGGTGGGTTTACAGGGCAACCAACAAAAAAACCCACCATTTTGGGGGTCCCCTAACAAAAAGAAACATGCCCAAGTGATTGCGGGGTTCACCTTGGCAGATCCTGTCCCAAGGCCAAAGTACCCACGGTTCCCAGCGGCTTTGTCAAAACGGCCGGTTCCTTGTTGGACCTCGGTGCGGCCGTGTTCTGATCCCCTTTTTTAGTTGGGATGCCAAAAAGGGCCCCCGAACTGTGACAAACCTCTAGGGGTTGATTCCTTTTTCCATTCTTTTCAACCATCGTTCTTTTTGAACGCTGGATCTGTTTCCATGGGATTCCGGAGGTTTTCTAGAAAGAAGGATCCCTGGAAAGAATGGGGGAGGTACCACTAGAAAACCTCCAACACGGACGAAGGGCTCGACAGCACAGGTGGCAGAGGATCTGTGCTCCGAAGCAGCGCCCGTGCACCCGGAGTCTGGAGTAGGGTCTCGGCCTTTCGAAGGATTCTACTCCTGTTCCGTCGACCTCAGCGCCTTGGTTCGCCGCTGCACCGGGCAAGATTATTGAAGCAATCATGCGCTTTCCAGCTTTTATGGGGCGACCAAACAACACCCTCTGCTCTATCGCCCCACTTGTTGGAGTGTGATGTCAAGCCCTTCTTGTTTCCTAAATGGTCAACCCAGGTCACAAGCCCCCCGCAATTACTGGAATGCTTGCCGGGTTTGCTGACCGGGGTCATCAGCAACTTACCGAAAGGGCTGGTCATCCCCGTACTAGAACGGCTTCACACAAAGAGTGGAGTTGTTGGGTTTTGAAACAAAACTTCACAGGAGTCATCCAGGTTTTCCTTTGAAACAACACACAAGAAAGGGTGCCACCCGAAAAAGGCACACCTATATGATCAGGTTACCCCCAATTGGTGGTTGGGATTGGTGGTTCGGATATGGATTTGACCCCCCTGGTTCTTGTAGAGGGTAAAAGGGAAACCACTCCACCCTAAACCACCAAACCACCAATTAGAGGGAAGCTGATATGTAATTGATGCTTCCTTTGTGGCTTTCCGCTGAACCCACCACCGAAGAAGGTACCTCCCAAAATCAGCGACACGACCCATATGTAATTGACTTACTTCTTGGTTTTCCTTTGAAAGGAACACAACAGGATACCTCCCCCCAAAAGAGTAAGAGGAAAAAGAAGAACAACAGACCCACGCGCAAATCCAAAAAAAAAAAGGTACCCCCCAAAACAAAGACACGACCCAGGCGCGTTTTTCCTTCCTCCCTTTGCGTTTCTCCTCAGGTCTGCCATGGAGTCCCTGCAGGACCAGGAGACCCCGCTGCCCATGAAGCGCCGCAGGCTGCAGGGCCTCAAGGACTGGGGAGGCAAAGAGTCGGACGAGAACTTCTTCGCACGGACCGGGCCCCGGGAAGTTTATCGTATCGGGGCGGGCCCCAAACTTTGCGGCTGACATGGATGCGTGAAATGTGTTTTTTCTTTTTTTGTTCTTTTCTTTTGTTTTTCAATTAAAAAATATGGAATCAATCACTAGTGTTTGTTTTTTCCATATGGAGTTGGTGGCTTTGAAAGGACGGCCAAGATTTGGCTGAAATGAGGCTGGTGGATTAGTGGGAAGGATGGTATTTGTGATTTTCACCTGTTGGTTTCATAAGGGGAATCTGTCACTACAGTTTTTTGTTTTGTTCCATCCAGTTGCTGAAATGAGGCTGGTGGTTGTAATCATCACTGTTTCCGCCAGACCAAAGGAAACCATCTTCTAAAGAGAAACCCAAAGGAACACTGCCCATATTTAGGACCCCGTAAATGACATACATATGGCGACTGGTTTGAAGGTCAAGGGAAGCTCAGCTTAGCCTTCCATTTGCTGAAATGAATTGAAGGGACTCCTGTCAGTTGTCATGTTAGTGGGAGGGAAGGTATTCGTGAGTTTCCCCTGCTGGTTGTAAGGGTAATCTGTCACTTCTGTTTTGTTTTCTCCATCCATTTGCTGAGCTTAAGTTGGTGTTCTCAATCCTTTCTTTGTTCGCCAGACCAAAGGAAAGCACCTTGCATTGCTGAAATGTTTCTTGTTTGTTCCCCTCTTGGTTTTAACGGGAGTCTGTCACTAATGGATACATGTTGTTTGTTTTTTCCAGGGGACGAACAAACATGGAGGCGGGGGTCTTTTTTGGGGGTACCCCCTTTAAAAAGGGAAACCCAAAAGAAAACCGCCCATACTTGGGACCCCTAAACGACGTACATATGGCGGCCGGTTTGAAGGTCAAGGTAAACTCAGGCTCGGGCAGGCGAAAGGGGAAGTGGTTGGAGTTTTGCCAAGATGAGCACATAGAGGGGGATGCGTCGGGGATATAAATGAAGCATCTTCCATTTCAGGCAACCCGTAGTTGGTGGCTTGGATTTGGATTTGAATCTCTGGCCTTTGTAGAGGGTGATTGGGAAACCCCTCTTTAAACAAGCCATCCAAACCACCAATTAGAGGGAAGCCGTGTAAATCCCATCTGTGGTATTCCTTTGGTGCATTTTGTTTGGATGTTAGGACTTTAACTTTTTGCCAACTAATGGGTTTTCCCTTACACGACTAAAAGTTAAACTTTTTAGCAGGGGAGCAGAAAGCAACCGAATGACCCTGAGCATGCACATGGAAAAGGGGATGTGGTTTTAGCTCTTGGAAGGGAAAGTTGCAGCAGGCAAACGCGAACCTGCAATCCACACCGGGATTGCTGACACATACGCGTCAAACCTAGCAGCCACTCCAAATGGGGGAGGGGGTTTTGTTTGGACTGTTTGGCATGAAATACGTTGATGCCAAGCAGAAGATGGAGCGGACACAAGAGACCTCATGTTGTGTCTACTCGTTCCACGTGTACAAAATCGAAATTACTCAATTGGACAGTCCTCCCGTCCGAACGTCACCGCACGGCAGGAGATTTGCAGCAGCTTTGGCTTTGCTTGGACCCCAGTCACGCACCGGCCCAGATCTCGGTTGGGTTAAACCGGCCAGCTAGTTCAAACCATGTGGAAGTGTCAGCCAGTTTTGTTTCAACCTCCTGATTCAGGGATGCCCGGCAAAACGTACTGTGGATGGACAAATCCATTTCGCACCACCTGAGAAACCCTGGTTTCCCCGTGTAAATACCAACCAACGTTCTGGTTTCAACCATGATTTTACAGTGGTGCGAATCGGATGTTGCTTTTCCATCCACAGGAGGTAAGCCAACCTGAGGGCTTTTCAAACCCTTCCAAGCCAATAGCTTGAGAGAGGTTGCAAGGGCTCGCTGATACTGTGGATGGACGAAATCCTGCACCACCTAAGAAACAAGGACAAACCATTGTTTGCTGGTATTTACAGGGGAATGATCATTCTGGGCTTTCTTAGATGGTGCAGGATTTCGTCCATCCACAGTAGCTTGCGTGGCGTGGCTTCGCGGACATCCTCAGACGATTGATCCTTGGATGGCGGTTTGTTTGTTGTTGTTTTTTTCTAGTCGATGCGGTCCCAATATCCAGAACTAGGGTCCTTTTTTTTAGGAGATCCGCATGTCTCCAGGGCAGCCAACCGCCTGGAGGGGTCCTAATTTTGAGATGCATCTTGTGATCTGGAGCGTGAGAACATGTGCAGGAACTCCATCAGCACGGTTTACCCTTCACCCTTTTGAAGGTTCCTGTACTGCACGTGTGTGACACAACATATTAATGATTTGTATACTATATGTATGCTCAACCAAATATAGAATTAACAGAGGGTGATTATACAAATGCAGTGACAAAAGGTAATGGACATGATTTACAAGAAGCTGAGCCTTTGCTTGCCACTTTTTACTCAACCAGCTTGTTGCGGAAGGTGCCGCGCCCGGTGCACGACGGTTCCTTCGACGTGGCGGACTTCTTCTGCGTTGCTTTGCCTCCGGCGCCAGCAGCATCCTGAGCTGTCAGTGTGGCCACTCCCACGGTTTCCGGCGAGACCTCCAGGGGAAAAAGGGGTAACACTGGCAATCTAGGGGAGGACGGATACACCCCCATAGAATTCCTTTTTGGGGAAATAGATGGGTTTCGCTGGTAGATGATTAAACCACCAGGTAAACCAGGAATCGCCATCTATTCTTCTACCAAAACAACCAAAAAGGACACGCATGTACACCCCTTGTCCCTGTAGAGGTTGTTGGGGGAGGTGGGGATAGTGGGGGAGCACAACATGTCTTGGAATCGTTGTGCAGATCTGGCAGGATGAGGGGACTGCGGATTCAAAGCGCCAATTGTTTTTGAATCCTCAACCTGTTCTTGGACACAGAAACCAGAAGGACAAAAGGGGTTTGGGGCTTGGATCCCAAAACAAAAGGTAAGAAGCCCCAGTGGCGCACTACTTCCTGGCACAGAGTTTGATCATTCGGGTACGTCCAACCATTCGTCGCGCTTGGTAATCATTCTTGTCAGAAACCACCAGTAGGTTTGTCTCAAGATAAGGGGACCCTGCAGGCGTGAGGTTTTTCCTTGTGGTTTCCCTTTTTTGACCAACCCCAACAAGGTAGCCCGCAAAAAGACAGACCCGTTAAACCGTTAGGTTTCCCGTGGACTGCGGCAAGTCACGAAAGACAAGATGAGCAAGCGCTGGATGTGGTTCCTGACATATAAGTTCCCGGACGCTCTGGGGAAGGTACCCCTAGAGCCTCCACGAATTCGCTGGTTCTCTTACCCCCAAAAGGGTCGCAACCTGCGGATTGGTGAAGCAAGCGGGTCTTCCAGGCTGTTGCCACTGCGCCCCCGGAAGGCAGTTGGGAGCTGGGAGCGAGCGGGTTTTCGGCGGAGCTTCTCCATTCACCCTCCTTACAATCATGGAAGGTCCCCCAGTAGTGCCTCTTTATTTCTTTTTCTTTTTTTTTGGGGGGGGGGAGGATTCCCCTATATACTAAAGTAGACTACAGAACCTTATTCCAACCTCTCTACTGGAGGACCTAGTTGTGGGGAAGTCCACTTCTATTGTCAGAAGGGGCGGGTAAGCTTCGCGCTTGTTGATCTCGGATTGACCACCTGCGGGGCCTCAGGGGGTTTCCCCCCAAGGAGAGTTTTTCTTTTGTCTCACGCTGATTGATCCTGGGCTGCAGGTATCATTTGTGCATTCTATCACCCACACTTTGTGAGTTTCGACCACGGCACATCTCAGGCACCCTGCCCAGTGGCGCCCTTTTTTCCTGTTTTTTTCCTCAACCAACCAAAAAAAGATGCACCTTTTTCCCATGGAAATCCACTGGGCATCTCAGGTATGATAGAAATCCTTCTAGTGCGGGCTTATCGGAGACAGTTACACTTATACTGCAAAGCCGCGATGTTCCAGCTCCCTGTTTTACACTTTTGTTGAACAAGTTGTGATGTTTCTGCTGGAGCTGTCAAAGTGTGCTTCGTGTACACGAGTATCGAGGATTGAACTGGGGCTTCTGAAGGTGTATTTTGCTTGTGTAAGGGGTGGCTTTGGTCAAAATCCGCGATGGAAAAGCCGATTTCCAATCTCTTCCAATATTTCCGCTTGCGGAGAAAAAGAGCGGCCCCCTCTTCCAAGCTAATGTTGTTGGACACATGGATTGTTGAAAGCATTGTCCATGGCATCTGCATAATATCAATGTCCCGCGGTTTTCAATGAAACAGATATGGGGCTCACACCACGTGCGCCGTTTTTGCGTGGCTGAAAACAGGTCACATGCAATTGACTTCCATTTGCTTAAGAACATGTTTTTGTATTTTTCAAAAGTTGGTGTCCCATGTTTTTTGTCCAGTTTTTTTCCGGGGTCTTAACCAAATGGAAGTTGATAGTTATGATTGGTGATGATTGGTGACACGCTAGCTCCTGTTGAGGCAAAATGAGACACTATTGCCTAAGCTCCAACCAATCCAAATCCCGCGAGTAGAAGCTTGGGATCATAGCACATGTTTCTAAAAACGAAGCAGCTCGAACATGTTTCCCCCCCCCCCGCTGTAGGCCCCAAAGCCTTATCATGGTCGTTGTTGGGAGATTCATTTTCTACTTGTTTTGCTTATGGTTTAGTGGTTGAAATCCAAATCCACTGAACTGCTATTTTTTTCATGTTTGCTCCCCAAACCCAAGGTGAACCAAGCTATCCGAGATCTACTTGGCGTCTTTGGCGAGTGCCACTACCTTCTTGGTACTGATGGTTGCGATTCATCCAATTCGCACGAAAGGAAACCATGGTGGAAGCCAGCCACCGTTTGTTGGTATTTACGTACAGGGGAATCGAACATGCCAGGGTTTCGGAACAGGAAACCATGGTTGAAAGCATGGTGGAAACCATAACGTTTGTTGGTATCTACAGGGGAATCGACCGAATCATTCCAGGGTTTCTGAGTTCGGTGCGAAATGGATTTCGCAACCATCCACAGTAATGTTGACCCTGGATTCATAAAACCCTGGTTGATTTTGATTGGGGAGGCGTCCCCTTTAGTGGGGATTCAGACCACTTTTGGAGGGAACACCCCCCTAATGGGACGGGCTCTACTCAGATCCGGCAACATTAGCGGGGAATGAACCAGTTGAAGCTCCGTTTGGTTTGCCACCGCTGAATGCCTTTGGGGTCTTCTTCCAGATCGGCTCCGTAGGGCTTTCGCTTTCAAGGGTTCAAAAGGAGAGTTCCTTGGGGCACAAAAGGAGCTGGGGAGATCACCTGAGCCACTTGCTCAAAACCGATTCGGGTAGATGAAGGTTAGTATTTTTCAGTCCCAGCCAGAAATAGTTGCGGAGAATTCCGCCTTCTTAGTTCTTGAAGCATGGTTCTGGGATTAAGACCATTGTACTACCGGGTTTTGATTGTGACTCAAATTGGCGTATTTGGATTATTTCTAAAAAAAAAAAAAACGACGAGCCACCCACTTGGGACTGGGGATGGATCTCGGCTTCTCGTCGAGGCGGCAAAGTGGAAGAGCCTCCGCGGAAGAGGCTTGTGAGCGCGTCTTCCCGTTTTGACCGCCCCTCCGCCAAAAGAAAGAGAAAGAGAGAGAGAGAGAGAAAGAGCGAAAGAGAGAGAGAAGAGAGAGAGAGAGAGAGAGAGACATGGCCATGGGTCAAAATCCCGTACCGTGAACATCTCAATCCCCACTAAAATAGACTAACATGGGTGGTGCACCTACCCCAAGATGGTACCATTGGTTTTGACCCGCAGCCACATACCCATATGCGGGAGGTTGCTGAATTTCTTGAGGACTGGTTTCCTGTTGGGTTCCCGCGTCGACACCCTTTCAAAGGAAGCCCAAAGTCTTTTTAGAACACGGCCGGACCTGTTTAGGACAGTTTCTTGTTTCTCGTTACCCACTCGCAGAACATGACAGGCGTGTGGATAATCCACTCGTTTTCAACAGTGGCCGCAGGGCCCAAGCGACCGGGAATCAGTTGCTGTGACTTGGCTATCACCTGCCATGGCCCATTTGGTCGGCTTTCATTCTTCGGGCAGGCAAAAGGTATGATCCTCGGCCCTGCTTGGTCATACTGTGGATGGTTGCGAAATCCAATTCGCCACTTTGAACCCCTGGTTGAAACCAATGTTTGTTGGTAGTTTCAGGGGAATCAGCAGAAACCAGGGCTTTCTGGGTGGTGGGAAATGGATTTGGCAACCATCCACTGTAGTATGTGACTTCACGAAGATGAGTGGGGCCTGTGTTCATGTGGATGGATGAAATCGATTTCGCACCGTTCAGAAACCCTAGAATGATTCCGATTCCCCAACGTAGATACCAACAGTGGCTTTCATCACGGTTTCCTTTCGTGCGAATCGGATGAATCGTAACCATCAACTACCAAGAAGATAGTGGCACTCTCCAAAGACGCAAGTATATTTTTCGGAGAAGCTTGACCCCAGATTTCAGGGCTCATTTGTTTCCTCGTGTTTTGTGTTTCTTGAATTTGTTTGTTTTTTGGTTTGCTTCTTTGCAGGGCTCCTTAACAGAAATTAATTTTGCAACCATTTGAAACATGGCTAGCTTTTTCAGCACCAAAATGAAGGGAGTTGCCATCATTTACAAGTTGCAATGTTCAGGTGCATAATGTAAGGATCCCTGCGGATTAATAAACCCATGTTTATTAATATGGGTGTGTGTTTTCGGTTTAAGTGACTTAAGTGGGGATTCATCACTTTCTGAGGGCCTCTGTTCATCTTCCTTCGCCTTCCTCTTCCCCAAAGCGCCCACTTCGCAGGCAGCGCACCAAAGCTACGGCTGAGCCGAGCCTGGGCGGAAGAGGGCGGAAGAGGGCTGATCGACGACCCGCTGCCCTAGATCGCCTTCACCCGTTCGAACGGAGTCCCAACATCCGGCAAGTGGACCATTTTAAGTAGACACACTTCCTGAGTTCATGAACTTTAAGCTTTTTGGGAAGACCATTCTAGTGGTAAATATAAAGTTTGGGGCCTTTTTTTGGGCCATCCACTCAGCAAGTGAGTAGAGGGGTTAGGAGTTATTGCAAGGCCTATAGTGGAGCTGGAGAAGCCCTGGTCGGAAGTTATTCAAAACAACACGCTACATGTTGATAGTTATGTTCATTTTTTTTCCATGTCTTTATCCATTTATGTTTATGTATTTCTTTCTTTATTTATTTGTCGCGTGTATTTCTTTCTTTACTGGTTTCTTATGTGTCTCTCGTGTTTGTCTTTGTCATCGTTATGTATGGCTTCCGTTCATTAATCCTTCGTTCCCTTATGTATTTGTGTTATTTCATTATGTTTTTTTAAATTTCTTGTGTTGTTTAATTTATTGTTTTATTCCTTAGCCATCCATCCATCCATCCATCCATCCATCCATCCACCCACCCACCCACCCATCCATCCATCCATCCATCCATCCATCCATCCATCCATCCATCCATCCATTTGTCTGTCTGTCTGTCTGTCTATCTATCTATCTATCTGTCTTTCTGTCTATCAATCGAATGTAATCGCATCTGATGCTCTAAAGAACAAGGGACACCTTGCAAGTGTTGCATTGAGCCAGTGCTTGGTTGGATGTGGTGGGGCTTGAGCCAGTGCTTGGTTGGATGTGGTGGGCACACATGCCTTGTATTTTCGCTAGTTGCGATCCGTGCTGCTCGCTCCATGTGAGTCAAGAGTCACTTGCACCTAGGAAAGATGAGCCGGCCATGGAGAAGGAGGCGGCGGGCAAAAAAAGGCCCCTTTGGCCAGGTCCAACTAGGTCCCCCAGCTAGGTGCCCGCTCTGTTACCCCTTTTTTGGTTGGGAGGAACCCCCCCTTCTAAAAATAGACTGAAGAAAAACACATCGGGTACCCTTATTCTAACCTCTCAAATCTGGAGGACCTAGCCAAGTTTGTAAGCCGCAAGCCAATCGCCGTGGCGAATTTCATGGCTCAGTGCCCGAAAGTGAGCAGCGGTCCAGCAGCTGCATTTGGCAGCGAACCCTTGTGTTTGCTCTTCGCTCCGCTCAAGTTTAGCAAATCAAGCATTTGCTTTCGCAGTCTGGATGGATGGTTCCCGCTGACCCAAAAGACACTTCCCCAAATTTCAAGCTTAAGGGAAAGTATGCGTAACCTTTTGAGATGGTGCCTAGATAGTGGTTGGGTAAGTCTTTCCTTGGATCCCGCCCCGCCTGACATGATTCTGGCATTTAAGTTCATACAATCTGACCAGACTCCAAAACTGTCATTCTGAGTGGGGGGGGGGGGGCGAAAGATGACACTTTCCACTCCACATATCACTGGGCTCCCCATATTTCTCTTCGGAAGGTTTCAAACTTCCCCTTCGGCCTAGATTCGGGATACGGTGTCCGCTCCGGAAACAGGTAAGTGCGAATCGTGGATGTAACCATCTCGCCATCTCCAAAGGTGGGGTCTGGGCAACATTTCGGGGTCGATCAATATTCTGTTCGGCCTCCAGATGGTCACGGGTCACCTTTCCCATGTGAAACATATTTTTTTTTCTTTTTTTTTCGTGGGTTTCCGACTAATGGTCATTGCATGAATCACGGAGCTTTTGATCCACCCCCATTTGTTGAAACTCTTCATTTGGCCCCTTTGGAAGCGAAAAATGAATCAGCAACCGGTGCTTTCGCTGTGGAAAGACCGTCCTTCGGAGGCGGACACCATGGCAGACTTCCAGCAGGAAGTGGACAACGCCTGGGCGAGGCGAGAGTTTCAGAGATTCGGGTCCCGCAGTGGGTGTTTTTTCACCCGGATCCTCCAAAACGGGAACCCCAAGTGTTCTGCAACGAAAGTGCCCACATTCCGTCTGGAAACCCGTTGTTTAGGAGATTCCACATTTTGTCCCATGTGCTTTGACAAAAACAATTGTTCAGTGGATCCCAGCTTTTTCGTCAGGTTCTTTGCAAACAAACGCAAACAATTCCGCCCTTGGTTCGCCATTTTCCAGCGGCTGCCCTTCAAGAGCACGAGCTCTCCTTGGCGAATTGGTCACACGGAAGGTGGCTCAAACCGCGGGTTGCAACCTCATCCTGTCATGAAGGCTCTTTTCATATGGGTAAACCTCACAATTAGTCACCAGTAATCGGATCGCAGGTTATAGTCCTTGGTACCATGTAACCAGGGTTCCATGTTAGGGACCTATTTTTGACCCACAGCCATGTGGAACCCTGACTTTGGTTTGGAGAATTCTTCGATCTCACCCAGCATCGTGGCTTGAACATGTTTAAGGAGAGGATTGAGAGGTTTGCACCTTCTGCTTCCGAATCCCTTTTCTCTCTCACCAACCATGGCCCGCGTTCGAAGATCCTTTCTCTTTTGGAGGGAAACCCACAATCTGGAAAAACACATCGACCCTTGTTGAAGATCATCTCAGAAGAACTCAAGGCATGCTCCGAAGCCTTTGAAAGTCCTCACCAACCAAATACATAACTTGGTGGCTCCCAGCCACAAGGTTCTTAGCTTTTTAGCCTTTTAGTGTAAAGTAAACATTTCCATTTAACCCACTAAAAGTTAAACTTTTAGCCGGGGATCTGAGGACAGTCCAGACAGTTGGAACCTCTGAATGCGGGGTGGATATTTTCACGCGGAAATGCTACGCTTGGCGACTTGCACTCGGCTCCCGCGAGTTGGAAATTTCCTCCCCGCTCTGTGTTTGTCTGTGAGGAACGCAGGGGATTTTTGTGTCTTTCGGCGAGCAAAAGTTGCGCTCGCTGGCCGTGATCTCGTTTCTTTTGTTTTTCTCTCACCCATCATGCTTATTTGGACCATTGAGACCAAGCCAGCTGGCAAGCCGGCTTGCCAGGATGCTGCTGGTATTGCCCTGCGGTGCGATTTGTTTGCTTTGTATGACAGGGACTTGATAGCTGTGACTTTTTTAGATGTGCTGTGGAATGAAATGCGGCATCATGGGGCATCATTAGCAAGTCCGAAGGGGTATTGCTGAAGACGACTTCGTGTAGCATCATAGCTTCTGACTGTGGATGTATTTATATATATATATATAATAGGGCACAAGCACTTCAAACATAAAATTGAGAGGTTGGAAACATATTTCAGGTACCGTCCAATGCTAGACATGTACCCCCTATCTCTCAAGCCCCGGAACTGGCACGGTAAGACTCCGAAATGTGAAGCTTACGAAGCTTTACCTGCCGGACGCTCCTCTTGCGGTTGGTCGGTGTCATTTTTAAGGAACAGACCCGGCCGTTGACACCGTTGACACATGTCTTGTCTGAAGTTCCGGGGAAAACTCAGTATACTTCTCACTTCTCGCGCCATAATCTTGAAGGGATTTGTTTGGGCTTAAAGGCGTGAGCATAGGTGTCCCTGGTGGTTTAATCATCTACCAGGGAAACCCATCTATTTCCCCTAAAAGGACACCTATGGGCGTGAGCATCGCTAGGAATGATGACATGATGTACCACATGCTGCACCTGGCGTGGCCCTGAGCGAGCGACTAGCGCGACTAGCGCGACTAGCGCGAGCGATTGGAGGCGGATCCCTCGCACAGGTTGTTGGTCGCTGGACAGAAACAAGCTCGCCCGTGAATGTACTGGAATGAGGAGATCCAACTTTTGGGTGAAATATAACAGATCCATGCAGCGCCTCTATTTTGGAATGCGCTTGTCGGAGCATTCCAACGGAATCGAAGGCGATCCTGTGAGTTTCCGGTCGGGCAACTCCTACTTAGAAAATTGCGGGTTGAAGTTGCCCGAAAACTGCGGAAGGACACCCTTGTCAGGGTACTTCTGATTGGGCCCCCCGGATGAGTAAACCCCTGGTTGATTTTGATGGGGGTGCCCTTGCGAAAGTGCGAAAGTGGGGAGTCAGACCTTTTGCAAGGAACACCCCCCTGCATTATAAATGGGAAGGGTTCTACTTGGATCCTGGGTCAACATTCACCCCGACTCAGACCAGGAACTACAGGCAAGCTGATGTACGCCTGAACCATCCATTTCAAAAACTCCCAATGGGAGTCCAGTTTGGCATCACGGGTGTCCTTTCTAGGTTTTATGACTAAGACTAATCGATGAGTTCCGGTTTAGATGGGTCTCATGCCCGAAGTTTACCCGGGAGTGCCATCTATGTTTCCAAAAGGACACCCTGCTGTTTGGCATTTCCAACACGTGCAAGCAAGCGGTCCGTCGGGAGTCCGGAGTGGTCTGTGAGAAATAGATGCATCCGCCAGTGGACTCCCCCAGAAGACCCAACCCGGGTCCTGGCTATGTGGGACTGGTGTTGGTTAGGCCACTCAGGGGCTGAAATTTCACATACGTGTGGGGTTGTGGGGGGTACTTTCCAATACTAGGACCCCCAGCAATTGGTGCCCTTCTCACCCCTGTTTTGGCTAGGAGGGTTGCCTTACCAAAATAGACTACAGAAAAAAGGGTGCCCTTCTTCGAACCTCTCAAATCTGGAGGATCTAGAACCAATGTATCTAGTTACGAACAACAGCGGAACGCGGTTGTAACCTGCCAGGGGACTGCAGGTTTTCGTCCTTGTTTCTATTTCCAAGGGCAACCCATTTCGATTTCCGGGATTCCATTGTTTGGCCCACACCCACATTAATGTAGGGGGGGTGTCCCTGCGTTTAGTGGTTGGAATCAGACCACTTTTGGAGGGACCCTATTAATGAACTGGGGTTGATTACTAGAGGGGGTCAACTTTACGCCCATACTGTGGATGGACGAAATTCTGCACCACTTGGAAACCAAGGAAAACCATTGTTTGTTGGTATTTGCGTTCGGGAATCGAATCAGACATGGGTTTCTAAGTTCGGTGGTGCGTTTTAAGAGGATGTCACCATTACCAGAGAGTGGTGCAAAATGGGATTTGGCCTCCCTTTGCATGTCTTTGGCTTGGCAGTTGACCCACGGAGCATCACAAAATGGTAAAATGGGTGGTGCCTAAGAGGATTTCGCGAAACCCGAGACGACCAGCCACAGTATTACCAGAGGTCCGTCTATCGGAACCTTGACTAAACATGGACCAAACCAGGAAAAAACAGGTTAGGTCGATTCATTTGAGGGCTCCTAGGGGATCCTAGTGAGGAGCTCGGAATGTGGGAATGACCCAGGCTTTGGTCTCAAAGGAAACCACCAAGGAAACCACTAAATGGATGGTTTATAAGGGTCATTCCCTCCTTTCCTGCTGAGCACCAGCAAATGATTGCAAACATGGAGAGAACCCTATTCCAAAATTCGCAATGGGACCCCACAGCACGGGCAGCCGCTACTATGCGTCATAAGGATGACTTCGAGCAACGTCCAAGAATATGCTTTCCAGTCTTCAGAGCCGGTGCCAAGCAAAACCAAGCTGTAACATCATCAAATGCATGAATCTCCGGCTGGTTGGCACTTCTCGGGGTTTCAACCTGAAGGAGACTAAATCTAGGTCCTCCAGATTTGAGAGGTTTGAATATGGGTACCAATTTGTTTTTCAGTTTTGTCAATTTAGGGTCCCGAACCCTGCCAACCAAAAAAGTTGGGAGAGAGGGCACCGATTGCTGGGGGACCTAATATTGCAAAGTACCCCCCACAACCCCACACGTATGTGACCAGCCCATATGGAGGGGCCTAACCAACACCATTCCCACATGAGCCATAATCAAAACCCGGGTAGATGAAGGTTAGGGGCAGTCCCAGCCAGAAATAGTTGCGGAAATTTCCGCCTTCTTAATTCTTGAAGCATGGTTCTGGGATTACGACCATTTTAAGACATCGGTTTTGAGCAAGTGACTCACATAACCAGACCTAGACCTCATGCGTCTCACGCCAAACCGTCTGGAGCGAGGCCTTACGGCTGCACTCTACCAAGACCCGGCCCAAGGACCTCACGGCGGGGGACATGCAGGCCGGCCTCGGTTACGGTTACCTGGGGGGCCGCGTCCAAGAAAAGGATTTCAGATGTTCAGGTCCCATGTTCATAGCGTTCAGAAACATGTTTTTGTTTTTTAAGGCTTTGGATTTGTCTTTTAGATGTTCTTTTTGCTTTACATGTTCAGAAGAATGTTTAGGTCAATCCAACAGGACCTACATAATCCCAGTGGATTCCAGGCAAGCCGCCATAGTAGGTAACCCTTCATGGAACTCTTCTTAAAGGGTGGTTTGCTTGGTTGCCTCCAAGACCGGGGAAATGAAATCACGGGTTGTGTCCGACATAACCTTTGGGACGATCCTTAGCTCGGTGTCAGACTCGACTGCAGAAAAATACCCCAAACGGCATGGTTTCGACCATGGGTTTCAACCATGGATTCAAGCAGTAACGCAACACATGTGCAACAAACAGTTGTTTTTCAACCATGGTTTTCCAGCTGTGGTGTGAAATGGATTTCGCCCATCCAGAGGGAACGATTCTCCAACCAGGTAACGCATGGCTGGGGGGAAAGAAGATCTACTGCTTCTGAAACAATATGAACTAACCCGTTCCCCAGGCCGAAAAGTTCCTGAAAGTTTTGCAGGGATCTTTGGAGGAATGCATGGACGACTTGACTGAAGCTTCCTTTCAAAGGAAGCCCTTGAGTCCGTGCGTTGTCATGATTCACCTAAGTAGTCCTCAGCTTGTGTGTTTTGTTCAAGTTCCATGTTCAAAGGTGCCCTGTTTATACCTTGGGCGTGAATTCCAGGTTGGTATCAACCACCCACTTTTTGGTTGGCTGGCTAGTTTCGCCGTTTCCAAGGGAAAGCAACCTTTCGGACAATTTAGAGGCCTTGGTTGCTCCATTCCCTGAAAGGCCGCTTTGGTTGGACAAAGTCACTAGCTTGCTGGTTCTCAGTACGGCATCACAAAGGGTGCAATGGATCTAGGCATCCCCAACAAACAGCAAGCTAGCAAAGGTGGTCCATGAATCGACCTCAGCCTGGGGCTTGTTGATTTTGGGTACTGACCGTTGATATGCACACACACACACACCGCAATGAGCTTGGGAGCCCAATTCTTGGTTTTTCTTGAGTGTCCCCTCCTTGTTTGATTACCATGACTATGCCAATTTGCCTCTAAAAACGTCCTTCCCCCAAAAAAGATCAAGTCCAGGAACTTAAATAATTACCAAACAGGAGAAAGTGCAGGAGTCCTTTCAGCTTGTAAAAGAGTCTTCATGGGGTCACTTCCCATGTCCCATGAGCCCCGCGAAACTCACGAGCCATGCTGAGACTTGGACTCAGTGAGCCACCAAAACCCGGGTAGGTGAAGGTCGGTGAGGGACAATCCCCTTGCCATAAATAGCGGCTGCCTTCTTGCTTCCTGAAGCATGGTTCTGGGATTACGACCATTTTGGTACCGGGTTGTGAGCAAGTGACTCAGTTCCCATGTCCCCCTGAGCCCCACGAAACGGACGAGCAAGAGACATCCTGAGACCTGATCTCAGGTGTGGCTGGGCCTGGCGGGCGCCTGCATCGCGGCGGTGCGGTGCCACCGCCAGCGATGTGTGGCCGGGCGACTCGGAGAGAAGTGCCTCGTGGCTTTGTAGCGCCTGCCATAGGGTTACAAAAGAGGAGTCCATTTGCTTAAGGTTAGCCCCAAGGGAACGCCTCAAAGAAGTGAACATGCAGCTGGTTGAAATGATCAGTATTGGGCTCAGGACCACACTTGGAACAAGATGGGACTGAGCTCGTGGGATGTAGATGGGATCGAGATCCTTTCAGCTCCCTGTTGCCGGTCTGGGGAATGATCGAGGCTCAGGCTACTAAGCCATACCGAACTTTCCGCCGCAAAATTTGCCCCACAAGTCAACCAGCATCGACTCGTCGACCCCAGAGATGGCGGAAACATATCTCGCCTTTGAACAACGTCCCGTGTTGGCTTTGGAGGGACAGGATTTTACGACTGGGCATATGACCAAAAAGCAAATGAAGCCAATTAAACCAGCATCGACCCCGGAGATTGCGCACATGTCTCGCTTTTTTGGGAGAAGTTACCTCAGACGTACCTAAAAAGCGTTTGCATGCGGAGTATGAAAATGGTTGCAGGCCAAAAGCTACCCTCTCTCCAGTCATAGAAAGGGGCTCCGGGTATTCCCCACACAGGAAAGACAAAAACGAAGCTTCCGTACTTAAAGGGCCTTGTACTTCATAAGTGGTCAGTAAGCCTGGTAATAACCCACCAAAGCCATGGTTATAGGTCTCCTCAGTAAGTTATAACCAGGCTTACCCACCACTGACTAAGTAAGCACTGTTGTTGACAGGTGGCAATTTGTCATGTACAGTACATACCATGGCGTTGCTTGGCTCAATAAAAAGTGTAGCTGACCGCCTTGCTGTTTATAGGTAGTTCTGACCTATCAATAGGTTATCAGCCGTATCGCTGGTACCTTGTACAGCTACTCCTCTTGCGCTGCAATGGCGTCAGGAAGCGACGGATGCCACCCAGAGATTCCAAAACGCAATGAAGCAGTGGCCAGTGAATTGATAAAGTTTCTGAAGGGTGGTCCGGAAGGGAAATTGCCTGGTAACTCGTCTCAACGATCCAGGAGCAGCTTTTCGGAGTCGGATGGCGATGCGCTCGTGCCCATCACCGCGGTCTCGCTCCAGCACAGCATACCTCTCGCCGAAACACCTGCGCGGCCCGAGGTATACGCTGACATGACGAAGAACGAGACGCATTTACATCAAACAACTTGTGAGTGCTCCAAGCTTTTACCAACACAAGCAAACGGTCAACGTGGTCAATACCGGAGCAACTGCAGATGAGCTGGCGGCCTATGCCTCGGCCCACCACGACGCCATCGTGAATAAGCTGCAGAAGGAAATGAGGCAGAGAGAAAGTTGGAACAGCTCAAGCTACTCATGAAGATGTCGAACAGCCGGCAGAAGGAGGAGGCGGAGAGGAACATGGCTGACGCCCTCAGATTTCTTTGCGCCGGACTCAGGGGGAGGTTGTAACATAGGCTCTTTTCCCTGTTGCGCCAACTCTCCTTCGCAAGCGGGGGGTGTTGTTGACGGGTGGCAATTTGTCATGCACAGCACATACCATGACGTTGCTTGGCTCAAGGAAAAGTGTAGCTGACCGACTTGCTGTTTTTCGGTAGTTCTAGCCTATCAATAAGTACAGCGCCCCTTTAACTACACACAATTTCATGAGAATTCATCCTTCTTTGTTACAGTTATGTTATGGGTCGAAGAAGCTTGACCAATCAGGTGCCAGATGACCCACTTGCAGCGCTCGGATTCTCTCCTTTACTAGGTCCCAGGGTTGCCCTACTAAAATTGACTACAGAAAAAAGTTGGTAACCATATTCTAACCTCTCAAATCTGGAGGGCTTAGTTGAAGTACCCCCACTGCCCAACGCTTGTATCACGCGACACGCGACATGTCCGAGCCAGGCGTTTCAAGCGGCGGTGGCCCAGCTGGGAGACACCTACGGCGCCGAGACCTCGAGGAGATGGAGCATGTGATGGTTCTGTTTTGAAAGAGGAGCCAAAATATGAAACCATATGCATTTGGGAGGTTTCTGCATTTTGAGCCATCCATTTTGGAGATGTCTGCTTCTTGAGCCATCCATTTTGTAGGTTTCTGCGAGGCTTCGGCATTTTGAGCCATCCATTTTGGAGGTTTCTGCATTTTGAGCCATCCATTTGGGTTTCTGCATTTCGAGCCATCAATTTTGGAGGTTTCAGCATTTTGAGCCATCCATTTTGGAGGTTTCTGCATTTTGAGCCATCCATTTTGGAGGTTTCAGCATTTTGAGCCATCCATTTTGGAGGTTTCCATTTTGGAGGTTTCAGCATTTTGAGCCATCCATTTTGGAGGTTTCCATTTTGGAGGTTTCTGCATTTCGAGCCATCCATTTTGGAGGTTTCCATTTTGGAGGTTTCCGCATTTTTGAGCCATCCATATTGGAGGTTTCTGCATTTTGAGCCATCCATGTTAGAGGTTTCTGCTTTTTGAGCCATCCATATTGGAGGATTCTGCATTTTGAGCCATCCATTTTGGAGGTTTCTGCTTTTTGAGCCATCCATATTGGAGGATTCTGCATTTTGAGCCATCCATTTTGGAGGTTTCTGCATTTCGAGCCATCCATTTTGGAGGTTTCTGCATTTTGAGCCATCCATTTTGGAGGTTTCAGCATTTTGAGCCATCCATTTTGGAGGTTTCTGCATTTTGAGCCATCCATTTTGGAGGTTTCTGCATTTTGAGCCATCCATTTTGGAGGTTTCTGCATTTTGAGCCATCCATTTTGGAGGTGTCCATTTTGGAGGTTGCTGCATTTTGAGCCATCCATTTTTGAGGTTTCCATTTTGGAGGTTTCTGCATTTCGAGCCATCCATTTTGGAGGTTTCCATTTTGGAGGTTTCTGCATTTTTGAGCCATCCATTTTGGAGGTTTCTGCATTTTGAGCCATCCATGTTAGAGGTTTCTGCTTTTTGAGCCATCCATATTGGAGGATTCTGCATTTTTGAGCCATCCATTTTGGAGGTTTCTGCATTTTGAGCCATCCATGTTAGAGGTTTCTGCTTTTTGAGCCATCCATATTGGAGGATTCTGCATTTTGAGCCATCCATTTTGGAGGTTTCTGCATTTCGAGCCATCCATTTTGGAGGTTTCTGCATTTTGAGCCATCCATTTTGGAGGTTTCTGCATTTTGAGCCATCCATTTTGGCGTTTTTTTTTGCATTTGGAGCCACCCATTTTGGAGGTTTCTGCATTCCATTTTGGAGGTTTCTGCATTCTGAGCCACCCATTTTGGAGGTTTCGGAATTTTGAGCCATCCATTTTGGAGGTGTCTGCATTCCATCCATTTTGGAGGTTTCTGCATTCCATACATGTTGGAGGTTTCTGCATTTTGAGCCATCAATTTTGGAGGTTTCTGCATTTTGAGCCATCCATTTTGGAGGTTTCTGCATTTTGGAGGACACGTCCATATGGCACTCACTCCTAGGGTGATTACACTCCCTGAGTTCCTGGACTTCTGGACTGGGCTTGAGTCACTTTTTTGCGGGTTTGGGCCATTTGAGTGGTACACAGAAAGGCCAAAGACCTTTTTCTGGCCAATCCACTCGGGAAGTAATGGCTCAATGGAGCCCATGGCACCTTGGAAGAATAGGAATAACACGACTAAAACAAGCGTTGAAGGCCGTTCGTTCATTTTGAGCCGCAACCTGGATGTGGAGTCCTGTTTGTATCCAGCTGGAGTTTTAGGGGCTTTCTCAGTGATATGTCATGTTGGGACTCCCTCCTATGAATCAACCATTTGTTTGTCGAATCCGTGAACCTGATCAGCTGTTCAGTGGATTCCCCTTTGTGTTGGGTTTTTGGAATCCTAACGGAATCAACCCCATAAGGCTCCAATTGCCTGAGTCATGTGACGCGGATGGCTATGAACCTCTTAGAGAGCTTGACAGCCATACGGCTTTCTATCAAGTGAGCGACAACCTTTGCAAAAGTATGTGCCGTGCTCAAAACTGACTGTGTGTGTGTGTGTGTTTGTTTGGGAGTCGAGATTTGTTCCATGAAGAAACGGGAGACACAAGCCGCTTCGCCACCCGCTTTTCATGTTCCAAGCAAACCCCGAGAAGGTTTGAACGTGAAGTCCGGAGAAAAACGAAGGTTGGGCGCTTACACTCCCTCAGACTAACATGGAAGCTGACAGGAGGGGGTTGGAAACTTTCCTTTTGGGGAACCCCTCTGTCCACTTCCATGTTTGTTGGTGGGAGGGTAGTTGTGTACAATTTGTACATAGGCAGGGGATTTCAGGGCTTCCCATGGTCATTCTCCTCCCGGCGTTTGTCGACCTCCATTCGGATACCGTGGGAGGAGCTAATAAGCCTCCAAAAATGCATGAACAAGGCCATCGAATCATTCCGTTTACTATCCACCCTTTTGGTGACGATTTCAACAGGGAACAGCCCAAGCTGGTTTGACATTGTCCCATTTGCATGAGTGCGCTTCCAGTGTCACCCCCATGTATCCGCAAAGAGCTTTAGACATTTGCGTAATTGAATTATCCCCAATTGCAAGCCCTCCAATTCTTGAGATACTGTGGATGGTTGCGAAATCCATTTCGCGCCACCGAGGAAACCCTAGAATGATTCGATTCCCCTGTAGATCATGGTTTCCTTTCGTGGTGCGAATCGGCTTTCGCAACCATCCACAGTTCAGTTCCCTGCGCCCGGGGCGGCTACGAGCTTGAAGCGAGTGCGCTATGAAGATCCGCTGCCTTAGGGCTGTCTTAGCTTGGTGAACCTTAAACCCTAAACCCTGTAGTTACTGCAACGATTAGAGTCATTGATCTATGTGAACTACCGCATGTGGGGCCTCTTTCGACCTTATGTAAGAAGGGTCTACTATCTAAAGACCAGACTCAAATTTGCTCCCATTCCCCCTTGGTCCCCCTGCAGACTAACTTGGAAATCCAACAAAAGGCTCCCCCCGCCCTCCCCCAACCGTGGATTCCTCCGAAAAACCAAGGTTTTTGTGCATTTCCCCTTGGGTTCTACCTGCTTTCAGTGCCTCGGCTCGCTGAATCGCTTAATGGCTGAGGCGGGTTTGAAGGAAGCTTCCGTGCCGGTGTCACGGGATTTGCTCCTCTCGACCTTTGCGCAGCCTGCAGCTCAGTGCCAAGTCTTTTCCAGTTGCTCATTTTGTTTTTTCAGTTTTGAGAGATTTTGGTCCCTTGAACATTTTGAGATACTTTTCTCGTTGGTTTTCCCAAACACGCGGGTTAAACTCGGGTTTCCCCGACATTTTTTAGTTGGTTTCCCAACCCGAGTTTTTCACCACCACGAACCTGTCGTCACAGCCGAGGCTCCTGGTCCTGGAGAGTTCTTGCGGTGTGAAGCGAGATGTATATCTATATATGTTGAGGTGGATTATTCTAGATTTCTTAAAATAATAATGGTTCATTATTGATTTGTTTTATTTGTGTGTATTGTTTTTAATAATATGTATATATATATATATCGTTTGTTATAGGAAACAAATCCAGCAGGGCCCTTTTCCTCAGTCCCTGAGTTCCGTTTCGGATTTCGGACTCGAGTCACTTTTCAAGGGTTTGGAGCGTTTGAGTAGTAAACAAGAAGTTTCATTTGACTTTGGCCAATCCACTCAAGTGAGTTAAAGAGCCACACAAGGGTAGCCTCACCGCACGTTGTTGAGGTTCACCACGGGATTTGAAGCCACCCAACTTTGGTGGTGTGGTCAGGTCTTATACTTCCCCCATTCTTTCCAGGGATCCTTATTTCTAGAAACCACCGGCGAAATGGATCCGGTTTTTGAAAAGAAGGATGGCTGAAAAGAATGGTTGGACTCAACCCCTAGAAGCCAGGGTAGCCTCAAAAGAAAAAAAGACGAAGATGAGCGCGCCACCGGCCGGCCGTTTTTCAGGTTGGACCGGCTGCTGGAGGGCATCGCACAGGCACGGCTCATCAACCCATCCGAGCCGTGGCCTTAGTGGGATGGATCGCGTGAGTTCCACGTGGGGCTGACCTTCGTTTTAGGGGTACCCCCTTTTCTTCCTTGCATTTTGGTTGGATGTTAGGGCTTTAGTTTTTTTTTGGCCAAGTAAGGGGTTGTCCATTAAGCCACTAAAGGTTAGACTTTTAGCAGGGGAGCAGAAAGCAACCGAGTTTTGTTTTCACAGCTTAAGTCGACTGAGCGGTCATGAGCCATGGGGGTACCCCCTTTTTGTGGTTTTAAAGGGAACCAACAGGCAAAAGCAACAATAGTGTTTTTGTGTTTTTGTTTCTTCTTCTTTCTTTTTTAAGGGTACCACGACTGCTTTTGTTTTTTTTTTAACGCCGGGTTTACGCCTCAGGGTGAAGTCATCCAAACACATGGGTCTGGTCTTTTGTTTAAGGGGTACCCCCTTTTTGTGGTTTTAAGGGAAGCCAAAAGAAAAATCGCCATGTTCGGGGGTTTTGAGAGGTTCTCTTGAAAAGTGACTCACCCACATGGAAACTTACCCTTTTTAAGGGTCATACCATATCATACCTCCCCAAGTTGCGCAGTGGCACAACTACCAAGAAACCCTTTCCACAATGGAAGTGGCAAGTCGCCGTTTTCAAGAAGATGCTTGTCTTCCAAAGCCCTCTTGTGCACTCCCATGTGTGTCGGGAAGAGAGGTGAAACCAAAAGGGCAGCATCCCCAGTCAATCCCAGCTGCCCCAAAAGAAGCGATTTCCAGCCGGTTTCCTTTTGTAGAACTCTGTGTGGTTCCCTTGGTTACAGGAATCCCAAGGGCCTCACTGGACCTGACACAGGGGTCAAAGACTATCTGCAAAAAATAAAGGCCCCCTCGGGTGGACTCCGTGTGAGTGGAGAACAAAAAATGGATAGAAATCGATGGGTGCCACAGCAAAAAATATTTTTCGAGTCGGATCCATGTCGAGTCCTCTTTCGGTGAGGTCAGCTCTGCAGAGCGCGGCCCTGGCTCTCTTTGCGGTGGTCAGTTCCGTGGGCGCGCCCAGAGCGGGTTGGGCACATGTGGCTGTGGTGGTCAAAACCGTTTTGGATCCCATTTTGGGGGGTTTTCGGGGAATTCACCACCCATTTTAGTGGTTGGATTGGTTGATGTAACCACTTGGGGCTAGCCGATTTGGCTTTTGACCCATGGCCATGGTCCTTGTTTCAGGGCTTTGGCGCCCATGCAGCCAGCCCCGAAACCCCTGAAGGTTCCATTTCCGAGCTTCATTTCTGAGCGCACTGTCCTTCAAACCAACATGCCCAGATTCACGGATGGGTGTCCTCAAACGTGGGAATTCTGATTTATGGATGTCCTCAAACGTGGTCCCATGGCGCCGCAATTTGGGTGTGCTTATTTTTAGGGGACCTCCAAAATTGGTGGGCTTCCTCTTGGTTTCTCTTAAAGCCACAAACAAGGGGCAACAAAAGACGCACCCATTTTGACCTGGCAGGGCTCTTTTTGAGGACGAGAAGTGCATGTATTTTTTTGTTTTATTATTATTATTAATCTTGGGACATGGGTCCTCAGTATGATTGTGGAAGACTGGGTTGCCACATGTTTGTACAGCGCCTCTCCCCAGACCTCCCATGGCGCCGTTTCATCGTAAGGGATTTCGGATGAGCGAAGTGGGGCCCATGTTCCACAGTTGTCATGGGCAAAAGATGTCTATGTCTATATCCTTCAAAGATGTCATGCCCAAAGTTGTCATGGGCCCATTTTCCAAAGTGTTTTAGGCTCGATGTCTATATCCTTCAAATTGGAATAGATGGGGATGACGCTGCAGATCACAAAAGTGCAAGTGCCCGTTGATACTGCGGGAGCTAGCTGCAGTTGACCCCACTACTGTGGATGGAAGAAATCCATTTCGCTTTTCACAAACCCTGGAATGATGATTCCCCTTTTAAAACACCAATAAATGGTTTCAACCACGGCTTCAAAGTGGTGCGAATTGGATTTCGTCCATCGGCACAACGAACCCAATTTGCCGATAATAGACCCTATTCGTCGCGGAAATCACCCCAGTCGCTCAAATCGCCCTGATGAATTGGAATGGGGGCTTGGCCCCTCTTGTAGAATCGGACCTTGACAATCATTCGATTCACCCAGCTAGCATGATTCGAATCCATTAAATGATTGGAATCAATTGGATGTTTCGAAATCAATTGGATGTTTCGAAATCAATTGGATGTTTCGAATCCATTGGATGTTTTTCCTTCTTGACGGGTCTCGAGTTTCCTGTTTCGCAACTGAGAGGGTAAACTAGAGCCCCCAGCTGGAGGTACAGATGAGCCCCCAGTTTTCCTTCAGCAAATGGAAGGCATTCATTCCGAAAGGAACCCCTTCCCTTGCTGGGAAACTTGAGCCACCCCCAAACTCCCTAAAGGTCGGATTTGCACTCAGTGCTCAGACACCCGGATTCGTTCGTTCGTTCGTACCTGTTGGGCGATTCCCTTCCACCGCTTCACCCCGGTTGTGGTGACCGAAGTTCGTTTGGGCCCAAGGGCCATCCATTTCCCCAAGGTGCGGTCCTCCGAGGAGTTCCGCTGCATGCAGGCGCTGCAGTTCGTTTGAGCGGAAGGTCCCAAAGGGACAAGGAGTTTTATACTTTATTATTATTACTATTGTTGTTATTATTATTATTAGTATTATTATTATTATTTATTATTTATTATTTATTATTATTTATTATTATTATTATTATTATTATTATTATTATTATTATTATTATTATTATTATTATTATTATTATTATTAATATTAATTGTTTTTGTGCGGAAGTGAATATGATTTATCGTCCATCTTTTTTTTTCTCAAGTGAATTTGAATTATTATCCCTCTTGTTGTTTTTGGGAATCCATCGCTGCTGGAAAGAAGTGTCTTTTTCCATATGGATGTAACACCAACCATTTAGAGGACGGCCTGGAAAAGGCTAAGCAACAGGTTCATGCACGCATTTGAGGTGGCCGAGTGGCCTGGGCAAGGTGTTGCCTTCTCGCAAAATGGCTGCGGAAGGGGCGCAAGCAAGCCGAGCGCTTGTTGAAAACAGGTCTAAGCCGCACCGCTTACAACCGCGACCAGCGAGCGGAAAGATTAAATGGGAGGAGTCATTCTGACGCATAGGGTGAAATCTGCAAACCCCTGGCTGACGGCCGTGGTAAGGGGTGCAGGACCCATGTGGGGAATAGATCTCACTCCTGTAATGGCCTTTCTTCTATGCGCCCAGAGGCTCCTTACTGACTTAGGGCCTATTCTAGCAACCGGGTTTTGAGACCGGGTCCCAACCACTTCCCAGGGTGTCCCATGCTTGGATCGGAGGTTCTGTCTATGTTCGTTTGCCATGCCGGGGGCCACCTGGCAATCCCGAATCCCGAACTCTCGGATTCCTGGGTGAGTTAGAAGCAATCAAGCTGGGTGAAGAAAAAAAAACACAGGACCTCGAGCACGACCAACAAAAGCCAAATGCTGGGTTTAGGTGGAGAATGGCCCAAACAAGAAAAAGACCGCAAGTTTCAGGCTGGGGCAGTATTATAGTTCACGCAGATCAAGACATTGGACAGAAGGGGCAGCTTTTGATTTGGAATGTGTCAAAGCACCTTGGCCGAAAAGTGGTGCAGCGTTCGATTCCTTCCCCGTCAAGGTTTGGAAGGAATCACGAAACCCAAGCCGGAGTTTGGAGACAACCTGTTCCTGAAGGCAACAACAGCCTAGATCGATTCCCGCAATTACCCACTAGACAACTTGCACCTGCCCCTGCCCCTCTGACTGGAAATGCGAGAGAAGCAGTACAACATTTTACTTGCAGCTTCTTCTTGCAAGACTGGCTTCGGAATTTCAGGCTGAACTCCCCAGATTAACATGGAACCCAAGAGGGTGGTCCTCCAAAAGAATATTCCTCTACACATGAGGGTTTGTCTTGCTGGGAATGAACCTAGGGATCCCCCTATAGAGGAAACCACTATCGCACTAGCAAGGTTAAACCGTCCCCCCTTTTGGAGGGGGGTGGGGGGTCCCCAATTTCATTCCTCCAGTCTTCCCATGAAAAAGGAGCCAGGAACCAGAAATCAGATGCTCCCCCGGGGTCACCGCAATCCCATGTCGACATCCAGGCTGAAGCAGACAGCGTGCGAGTCAAGGCCCGCACTGCACCGTTTTGGAGGAACCTCTGTTTCTGGGACACTGTGGATGCACGAAATCCAATTCGCACCACTTGTAAACCATATGGGAACCCCCCAAAATCACCCTCCGTTTTGGGGACCCGTAGCTGTGGATGCAGGGAGTTTGCACCACATGGAAACCATGGTGGAAACCATGACGTTTGTTGGTATTTTTTTCGAGGGGAGTCGAATCATTCCAGGGTTTCTGAACGGTGCGAAATGGATTTCCACAGTATGGGACCCTATTTTGTGAGGGGCTCCATATCAACTGAGCACCTCTCCCTTCAAGCTCGGGGCTCAACAAACATGCAAGGGTCCTTCAAAATCCGCCCTGTTCGGACCTGCACAAGTCACAGATTCACTACCGGGTAAACTGAACCAGCAGAAATCCGGTGACCCCTACCTGTGGATGGTTGCGAAATCCAAGTCGCACCACTTAACCATGTTCGAAATCCCTGTTTGGTATTTACCTTGGGGAATCGAATCAGAAACCGTTGGGTTTCTGGGTCCGGTGGTGCGTATTGAGTTCGCGAAGTTTTCCACCTGAGATCACATGGGACAATTTTCGCTTAGCGGAGCTGAGCAGAGGCGACCTTTCTTGAGAAGCTCGTCACGGAGGTGGGACTTCGAAGCTCGGTTCCGGCTGCGGGGCTTCATGTAGGGGCATGAAGTCTGTTCAGACTTCTCTAGAGGACCTAGACCACCATTAAAGCAATGCTTGGGTTAATGTAACCGCCGTTCACCGTTCAGGATGGTCGTTTTCCATGGGTCAAGCATCCTTTTAATGGGGGTTGAACCCTGGCCTTAGGCAAAATGGATTCGACATAGCTCAAGGTCGTCACGGCAGGGACTGAAAGGGGCTGAAGTTTCGGGGGATTGGCAGGGTGTTCATGCAAGGTTTGGCTTTGAGAGGGATGGTCGCTTTTTGTTTCGCGTTTCTCAAAACAGAAAAGCCCTCGAAAACTGGGCAATATCCTTTTGGTTTCCCAAAAACAGAGCTCCCCCCCGCAATGGTGGCCTTATGCAAAATGGATTCGACATAGCTCAAGGCCGTCATGCCAAGCGAGCCACCGCGTTTCGGAATGGCGTCCACTGGCCGCGGGCTCCCAGCGCAACGCCCAAAGAGGCGCGCATTTTTATCAGCCCCGCCCCGATGGCTGGCAAATGACTTCTGACCCCCGCGCCATGGTTGTTGGGAAACATTTTACACTTTTGCTTATTGTGGTTTAGTGGTGGAAATCCCCACTTAACTTGTATGTTGTTTTTCTCACCGTCCAACATCAACCAAGACGCAGGGCAAGAGATCACGGCCGATTGAACTATTGAATAGGGTCCGTCCATGTCAGGTGAGAGGCTGTTTTGCCCTGTCGCGGAACCGAGTCAGCTTGACCCACTCTCAGCACTTCACGTGGCGTCCTTGGCCACGAGCCCGTGCGGCTTCATTTTTCGGTGTGTTCTGTCTTTAGGCTATGCCTTTTGGGGTCGGTTTCAAGGAAAATCAGGGGAAAACGAAGCATGTGTCGCATCCGCATGTTTCAGCAACCCTTTGCACTACAACATGTTGCAACCCAGTGGAGCTTTGCAACCCTTCACACGGAACACATTTGAAGCTTTGAAACCACGGGGACGCATTTGCAGGAAGCCTCTCGTCGCGGTTTCTGCGCGACTTTCTGCCAGCCTTTCCATCCAGCCGCGCCATGGTCGGGGGCCAATGGCTCTGGATGATTCGCGACCAAAGGCCGAGGAGGGAGCCGGACTTAGCGCCGGGCGGGAGACCTGGGCAAAGCGGAAAGTCAACAGCAGGGTCTTCCAAGCACCTCGCAGAGTAGGGTTCTTCTTGGTGTTCCGCTTGGTTTGAACATTCAGCCAACGGCCTGCTTTTTTTTTTAAGGGTCCTGCAAGGCAGCTTTTCAACCTGTGGGGAATACTAAGCTGGAGGCAAGTGGTTGAGCTGTTATTTTCAAAATCCTTTGGCTCAATCACAAGTCAGACCCAAAGACAATCGAACTCAGAAGCACTGCCCACCCTCAAGAACTGCAAGAGAAAGGTTTGCGGAACCCTAAGACCTGCGCAGAGTTGTGAAAGCTTTCCTTTGGATTGCGGGGGGTCTTGGGACTCCTTGGCTCGCTGTTCTCTTTTGGTTTTCTAGGTCCCCCAGTAGTGCCCTTTGACCCTTTGTTGGTTGGGAGGGTTCCCCCACTAAAATAGACTACAGAAAAAAGAATCGGCAGCCATGTTGTAACCTCTCAAATCTGGAGGACCTAGTGATTTTCCCCTGTTGGTTTTTAAGGCAATCACTACTGGACCTAGTTTTGCTTTTATTTTGTTCACCTTGAAGCACATGTCCTCTAACTTGAGCCCTCCATCCGTGTACCATGGAGCTGGGACAGAGACTCGTCAGGCTGAGTTCGGCTGAGTTCTCCGTGTGTGGCTGACTGAAGGTGGGGGGTGTCCCTTTGGGCGCCCTGCGCTTCCAGAAAAGGAGCTTGCCTGGGCCTCTTAGAAGACACGTTTGCTTCTGGGATTCCTTCCTTCTCGATGGGCACAAGCCCAAATGCATGTGGCGTCCGTGGAATGTGGGCTTTGAGAGGGATAGTCGCCTTTTTTCCGCGTTGCTCAAAGCACAACACCCCCCAAAAAGTGGGCCTTGTTTCCCAAAAATGCGAGCCGACTTTGAGAAGTTCGGAGATCTCGAGCCAGAACCTAGGAACCCCAGCGTTTCTCGACGTCGAACAGCTCGAGACTGATGCAGCGCAGCTCTGCTAAAAATCGCTGGCAAAAAGGGCGAGCCGAGCGGCCGCTGATTTTTGTGCGTGGAGTTAGACGAACAGATCATGGTCGTAGAGTTAGCTTGAAGATCACGCTGCTACATGGTTGTGGACAGTTTGGTTTTAGGGCCGCTCTACCAGGGGAACCGGCTTGAAGTGGCACAGTAGGGATAGCCCACTTTGGCATCACAGCGTGGGCCATTCACTACCAGGTGTGAAAAGGCAAATTTCTTCGATACGTGCCTTGAGGATCGCGATGGACAAGCTTCTGCGATAATTGCAACTTCAGTGTCCATGAATTCGAGCCATGAATTCTCCAGGCCTGCAGAAGCAATCCAGCTTGATAACTGGCGCCTATGTCAGAAGGCAGCGTCCCTGTTTAGGCTACATGTGGCATGTGGCCGATTGTTCCAGCGCATTCTTTGCGAAGGAGCATCTAGACTCCACTATTCGCGGTGTTCAGTATAATCGTGCACAATATGATTTTGGAGCAACCCCTACTAAAATAGACTACAGCAAAAAGAATCGGTACCCTTATTCTAAGTTATCTACTGGAGGATCTAGTAGCCCAAGGATGGCCCTTGGAAGTAGATCCATGGTATTTGCAAATCAGCATCTTTGTCTCTGCAGAGCGCTCACGGTTGCTTCCCAGGCCATAAGTTAGGGCCCAGCATCAGATCGGCGACACTTGTTTGATTGCTATTGATTGCTCTTGGGTCGGACCTTTGAACTTGGACTTTTTGGGAAATCAAGGGTTTGCCATTGAACCCACAAAAGAAGTTGGACTTGTTGCAGAGGGGTTGACAGCAACCAAGTTAAGGCCTTAGTGGTGTGAACACAGCACTGCTCAGATTTCATTCAACCTTGGAATGCACCCAGAGCCTTTTTGCCTGCTGACGCGCTAGGAAAGGAATGACCCATGGTGTTGGGAATGAACCGGTTTTGGTCTCACCCTGAGAACTACTGTGGATGGACGAAATCCATTTCGCACCACCTAAGAAACCCTGGAATGATTCGATTCCCCTGTAAATACCAACAACCAATGGTTTCAACCATGGTTGCAAAGTGGTGCGAATCGGATTTCGTCCACCCGCAGTAGCAAGTTTGATGCGCAATCGGGATCTCTTTGGATACTTTGAGCTTCGCGCTGAGGCATCGCTCGCGCAGGCACGGGCGTTTCGGTGTTGCTCGGAGAACTGCGCTGCTTTCCTACTGTAGGTCCCTCAGTGGTGCCCTTTTACCCTGTTTTTGTGGGAGGGTTCCCCTACTAAAAAAAGACAACAGAAAAAGGGTACCCTTATTCTAGCCGCTCTGGAGGACCTAGTATTTGTTCGCCGGCTTGGGCCATCCACCGAGCTTCTGCTGGCGAATTCACAAATGGCTGTGGCTCAAAAAAGTGGTACCAACATGGCACCTTGGCAAATGGAACCAAAGACCAAAACCCGCGTAACCCCAGCTCTTTAATTTTGAGCCATGCCCAAATCCCGCCCAAAAAAGCAGGCGGGCTTTTTGTGGGGCTTAAGTTGGGGAGACCACGGAGGGATGTTCCGACATGGCCAGCACGTCTTTGCGAGGCCAAAGCGAAGAAGCTGCGACGCGGTGAGCGGCCGCAGCGTGGCGTGCTGCTTAGCTCCTCGTCCGGACTGGTGGCTATGAGCCTGAAGAGTCGGAACCCGAAGCCTCATCCAGGCTTTGGTGGACACGAATCCCATCCTAAATTTGTGGTCCACCGAAACGTCTCCGGATCTTCAGAGTCTTGCCCCATGGCCCCAAAGTGTTTTGCACTTCTTATGGCGTTTCTTGGGCTTCCAAGTGCCCCGGGGACTGCGATTTTCCCCATGTTTTCCAATCCCACGCGTGGTGAGGCCTTACCACAAGCCTGTAAGGAGTTACCGACAAACATGGAAGTGCACAGACCCCTGCAGAAAGGCGACTTTCCTCTTGGAAAGGGGCTTTGTGCACTTCCATCTTAGTGGGAGTGTTAAAAGAAAACCCTTAGATGGAACAGAACCTTCATAGCTCCAAAACGCAGACCTGAAACTGCTCTTAAAATATTTGAGGGTGCTGAGTGATCTGAGGTGAGCTTTTGCAGCACGCTGTACTTGGCGGGGATCCAGACGGAGGTGAGGGTCCTCAACGGAATGCAGCCGCCGAATGCCGAGGTCCATGCCGACCGAACGCGCCTGGGCAGCGTTTAGCCCAGTGGCAAGGCCACCCCACGGAGCGGAAGACTTGCAAGTGGGAAACCCAGGTCACCCACAACTTGGCCGAACACCCAATAGTTGACTAGCCAATAACGCACCTTAGCTGTTGCTGCCTTTGGGGCCTGACCCCCACCTAACAAGAAAGCACTTAGTTGCACTGAGCGAGTACATCTGGGCCTTTGCAGCCTCTTGCAAGGAGCGGTGTGGCCATTTTCAACCAAGTGTGTGTAGCTAACACCTTGTTGGTCAGATAGAAAAACGCGGCTCTCGAAAAGGGGGCTAGTATTCCCCAAGTTTCTTCAGTTTCTGCACTTGATTTTCTGAGACACTGATTGTCGTGGCAAACAAAACGTGTCATACATTGAGACTTTTTGAGAGCCATCATCTACCAAAGGTTCCGCTGTCTGCAGGGTTCCTCTTCCAACCATGCGCTCGACAAGAACCTGTTCTGACGAGTCCTTGTGGTTGCACTGAGGGGTCTCATAGTTTGAGGTTGTAGGCTTTAACTCACCGTGAGTCGGGAATTGCGGATGTCACACAAATCTGACAGGGGCCCCTCGAAAGGGTCAACAACAACCAGGTTTCAGGACCATTGCTTTTACCCTGTTTAAGCACGACGTGTGTCACTTTTTTCGTGGGCGCCCTGTTTCTTTGGTTTTAAAGGGGTCTCCAACAGGGGAACCAACCATTTCTCATGGGGGCTTCCCGAAAAGACGCCGTCACTCCGGCGGCCCAACAACACGTCTGTCCGAGGATCTCAGCGCCTTCCTTGTCGCCCCCGCAGGCGCTGGTGGTGTCCTTTTGTGCCGTCTTTTCCAGGTGTCCCTTTCAACCGGGTGGCTCGTCTTTTTTTGGAGGGTACCATTTTCTTGGTGATTTTGAGGGAGCGAAAGGAAAACAACATTCTTTTTGGGGGATACCAAAAGAGCCACGCAAATCAAGTCCCAGCAAAGCCAGGTTTGGGCAAAAGACGCTGCTGGGGTATGGGAATGTTTTGTTCAGTTTGTTTAAGGGGACCCCCCAGAACGGGGTTTTCCTTTTTGTGTTCCTAATCTCGCTGCGATGAAGGATGCGGGTTTGATTGATAAGTCTGTGTGCGAGCTTTTGGCTTGGGTGATGTTTATAGCCCTACTAAGGCTCATGATCCCTCGAGGGCCTCCAATGCAAATGCCAGGGCCCTAAACAGGCAAACAGACCGGCAGACAGACAGAAAGACCCGCTAACAACACAGACAGAGACAACCAGACAATGGCGATCCTTTAGGCAAGGGTTTTTGTTTAGGACTCAAAACCAATAAAACCAACCGGGAGCCTGAGCCTTGGCTGAGGCTGCCATATCCGTCACCGAGACTTCAACGAGTCCAACTCCCACGCCGACCTCTTCGGTTGCCTGGCGAATCTTCTTGCTACGAAAAGTAGGGCATGAGGGAATGAACCAGAAGCGGGTTCGCTTAAAGGAAACCACCAGTTGGATGGTTAGGGCGTCGTTCCATTTCCCACCCTGCCTATGCAAGTCTGAAGCTCCAGAAATGCGCGGACTCTTTCGCCTGAATGTTGGGGTGGCTTTCCTTAGCCCCGAATCGATTCGGGCCCTCAAGGTTACAAGTGACAATGTGACACCTGACCCGAGGTTCAATGCATATGTGATGAGTGGACCTGGACACTCCGAATATTGCGCTTTACTTCGTGAAGTATCCCCCCACTTTGCTGGGTCCATTTGATTTGGCGAACCCGGTTCCCGTTTTGCTGAGCTGTGGCTGTGCCAGCGCTTCCAGGGCGCTGAACCGAGGAAGCTGCCAACGGGTCCAGCCCGGAAATTGGCTACATGATTCCCAGGGCTGACTGCCCCAAAGGCCAGATCTTTCGCGTGTGGGTTGGAATGTTGCCGTCGCTGTCGTCGTGTCGTTGTCGTTGTCGTTGATGTCATGTTCATTCTAATTTGCATAAAGATAGACCACATGAAGAAAGGAAAACGATAATGTACAATATATATATATATATAGATTATAGTATTATATAAGACAACATAACATATCAATATATTATAATGATTATATTGGTCTTTCCTATCTCTTGGGAACAGAGACTGACAACAGATACAGGAATGGAGAAATAAATCATGAATGATGAAAGGGAGATGGCTCACAGGGAAGCCATCCAATGATCCATCACACTCTCTCCACCACGTGTCAGCTCTTGGAATCGCATGCCAGGCAAATGAACGGATGCGAGAAAGAGCTGTTCATTCATCTCTCTCATTCTTGTTCCACCTTCCAATGTAATTTCTAATATAACAATATAATGAGAGTGAATGATGAATGAAGGAAGGGAACCGCAGAAAGTTCACCTCCTAAGCTTTCATTAATTCTTGGTTGTGATGGCGGTGAGGTTTGCCAGAGTCACAGCTTAGTATGTTGGATGGGTCTTTACGTAAAGCGGTTCACCGCTTTATCAGGAACCATTCAAGAATAGAATTCAATAGGACGGAGTTAAAGGGATGGGGTTGGAATGTAAACGAATCCGAAATGTCTTTTCTGTCATCTGGAATCTTCATTATAATTAACTTTTATCTTATCTTTCTTGAACATATTGTACCGCTTGCTATGTAATTTCTGGTCATATGACAGATAAAGATATGAACGAAGGTTGCAGAATAGATATTCTGGGTGTTAGTGTACTATGACCAGGAATTGCATGGATCCTAGAGCCTATTAATAGAATCAACCAGACGGAGAGAAGCCAGGGAACAGTTGGCTGGCTCTGGAACCCTCACTCACAGTCGTTGCAGCGGGTTAAAAAAGCTGTCCACAGGATACAGCCAAGAGTAGTAGATCAATACTTAATCCTGAAAGGTTGACTGGTTCACCTTCCTACATCAAGTTCTCCAGCAACCGTCTAACACCAAGAGCTAGGATTCAGAGACGGATGAAGGTATAGCCTATCTCTTCCTACTTCTACCATCCCCCAATCCAAATGTTGTGGAAAGGATTGGGAGAGGACTTGCTTTGCCTGTTGTTTGTCTCTGCTTCCATCTCCCTTCCGTCAACTCCAACAGATCCCAAGAGATAGGAATGACCAATAGAAAACTCGCCTACATTCGCTCGTTCCTCCTTCCCTCACCTACCCTTTACCTACCTTTACTACTTGGATTGGTTGCTTGGCTGGGTCTCTCTCACCAACCCTCACACACACTGTTATTTCTCCCTTCCATCCTGTGTGTTTCCCAAAAAAGTACGTGTCGCCCACAAGGTCTTATTATGCTGTATGGTCGTGCTTCAGGTTTAGGGTTCTTAGGGTTTAGGTTAAGGGTTTTAGGGTTTAGGTTTAAATTATTTCAGGTTTAAGTTTTAGGTTGTTAGGGTTTAGGTTTGCTTGGAGCTGGCTGTCCGGCGCATCCGAGGCTGGCTTTTCCGGTTTAGGTTGACGATAGTATATCGCCAGGAAAAGTCGCCGCGCTCCATGAAAAGGGGTATGGAGCAAGCTGGGGTGGGCTCGAACTGCGTTTTTGCTGCGCGTGCCCACGCTTCTTGGAGGTCTCGGGACCGCTTCCGGGCGGTCGCGGGCAACAGCTACGTTTTGGCCGTCACGATGGAAAGGATTATGAGAGCGTGGAGAGCTGGCTAATGAAGGCATGCCAGCCAAGAATCCCAACCGTTCCCTTGCTTCCCTCCGTCTCTCAACCCTTTGTTCCTGTCTCAAGCTCATGGATAACATGATACGTCCAAGATATGAAATTGTAAATACAAATTGATGATTTGTTCATCCTAAACTTATTTGATTTACTAAGAATTGGCTATGGGTACGACCATAAGACTTATTCAGATCCTGATGGAGGTGTTGCGCATGTTGGTATGGTCTGTTTGTCGATATGTTTGTTTTGTCTCATTATTGTTCATTTTGTTGTTATGTTTCTGCTTGTTCTTCTTGTCATCATTGTTCTTATTGCTAACCCGTGTTCGCAAAGGTCGTCTTGCTCTCCTTGTTCTCCTTGTTCTCCTTGTCATCCTTGTTCTTCTTGTTGGTATCGTTCTTCTTTATCGCCGTGCTCGTCTTGTTATTTTTGTTATATGTGTTCTTGTTGACCGTTGTCGTGTGCAGTGTTATTATTGTTTGTAGTTGCTGTCGTTGTTATTATTGTGGTTCTTGTCGTCATTGTGGTTATGCCTGCGATTTTGCGTGGTATCGTTCCTTCTCTGCTTCATGTGTTTTGCTGTTGTTGGTTTTGGTTTTGATGTTTATGCCGTGTTGATTGCGGATGACGCCTATGCTCACCTCACGAGCGGTCTTTTCATGCTGTCCAATGGTTCTACAGTCGGCACACCTAGTCCCAGTTCCCCAGTGATGCCCCTTTTTCTTTTTTGGGGGAAGGGTCCCTTCAACGTCAACCAGCAAAAAATATGCCCTTTATTTTAATGGAAATCCACTGGGCATTTGTGTTGCGGTGTGCGGAGGTCGGGGACTGGATGTGGATTAAATGGAACCAACAGGAATACGGCCGTGGGCACCCATATTTTCTCTGGAGCTCAGCCATTTTCGGCCGTTCGAACGGCCAGGGGCAGACCAAGCATCGCGACTGCAGTTGGTGCCGCACCTGCTGTGGGTTCCATAAATATCAGAAGTCTCGACTGCTCTTTGGTGGAGTCCTTCATTTGTGACGTTTTTTGGGAACCTGCGGTTTTGTTCAACTGGCAAGACGCACCCTGTAGTTGATGTCATTGCAATCTCGTTCCCGTTGTGTAGAGTACGATTCCAAAGAACTCATATCTATGATCTGAATATATATATATATATATACCGTACATGAAATGGCATATGTCTGCAAAGGCCGAGGGTGACTTATATTCCAACACAAGAGCAAAACAGTTGGCTGCCTGTGACAGTCCCTGGGAAAAGGTTGGCGCGAACTGTTGAATCCGATCTTTGGCATCTTGAGTCGCGAACTTCTTGGACGGCTTCAATTGAGAGGTACTTTTGTTGTCTCAAAGAGTTGGACATATGAGAAGAAGGTCCGGCCGCACACCGCAGCTGCGGAAGGGACTGCGATAGAAGCTAGAAATAGCTGCCGAAGCCGCCAGAAGCACACCTGGCATGGCGGAAACTGGTTGGCTTGCAGAACAGGGGGCCATGGTCCATTCAGTTTTGAAGGGCAACGCCACTCAAATGAGAACGCGCAAACCGAGGGGCCGATTTTGGGGGGGTTGGGGGTCCTTGGGAACGGTGAGGCGCAGTCCAGCAGCCCATCTTCCATTGTGGGCATGACAACAGCCAACTGCGAAACACCAGAAGACCTAAAACCTCAAACCTACAGCACGCCAAACCCCATGTAGATCGGGGTATTCTCCTATCCCAAGATACCATGTCAGCTTGGACACACGAGCCACACTTGAGCAAGAGCCAGCTCACAAGTACAGTTGTTTTGGAGAGGACAAGTTGGAGTGGTTCCAATTTACCTGCAAAACATCAGGCCCAGGGCCCTGCACCTAAAAAGGATAGAGGAACCGGAGACAAGTTGCCAATGGCTCTGTGTGCCGCGAATCGGGCGCAAAGGTGGCGTCCCTGGAGGAATGCATCGCTGCGGCTGCCTTCCTGAAGAAGAGCCTCGGAAAGAGACACAGCGGGGGTGTTCAAAGGCTGAATCTATACGTCCATATGGCTGTGGGTCAAAACCAATGGTACCAGCTTGGGGTAGGTGCACCACCCATTTTAGTCTATTTTAGTTGGAATTGGGATGTTCACTGGGGGTACGGGATTTTGACCCATGGCCATATGGTCCCCCAGCTAGGTGCCCTTTCTCACCCCTTTTTTGGTTGGGAGGGTTCCACTACTAAAAATGACAAGGAAAAAAGTGTACCCGTATTCTAAGCACTCTACTAGAGGACCTAGGATATGTCTTCTTGTTCGGGACCCACCCATTGGTGGCTTTCCATCAACAAAAGACACACCCATGCCCTGTCCAAAACGTCCGTTTTTACCGGGGCTCGGGGATGGACCCTAGGAATAGACTGCCAGGATTGCCAGAAACGGCCCTGCGAACCGGGAGGTTCGAAAGTGAACTACATGTTGACGCCACATTCATCAACCCCGATTTTTTTGGGGGGTGTCCCTGAATTTAAGTGGGGATGCATTGCTGGAAAAAACACCCCCCTAGTGGTAAACTGGGGTTTGATTAATGTGGGGTCAACATGGCTGGAAGGATGCCCCTAATACAACAGAGTATAGCACAAATAGTTAATCGTTCTTTTATTGTTTATCGTTCCTTTTTTTCTTTTCAGTATATGTATATTGTTTTTATCCTTGTTTATTTACGTTGTGTTTTGCTACTTTCCTTCTTTCTCTTTCTCTCTCTCACTCTTCCGCGTCTGTTGTTCTGTCATGTCAATCTCTATATACCTATCTTATATATCGTATGCATCGATCTATCTATCTATCTATCTATCTGTCTGTCTATCTATCGATCCATCCATCCGTGCGTCCGTCCGTCCGTCCGTCCCTCCATCCATCCATCCATCCAGCCAGCCAGCCAGCCAGCCAGCCAGTCCATCCATCCATCCATCCATCCATATATCCATCTATCCGTCAACCTATCTACCTATCTACCTAGCTGTCTGTCTTTCTATCTATGTATCTATCTATCTATCTACCTATCGATCGATCTATCTATCCATCCACCAATCTATCTGCCTACTTAGTCTCACTTTCTATGCAACCAACGATTTGTCTATCGTTTGCCCATTTCGTAAATCTATTTGCTTGTGTATCTATCCATATATCTATCTATCCATCAATCTATCCATCAATCTGTCTTCTTTGTGTTTCTTTCTTTATTTCTTTCTTGCTTGCTTTATTTCTTTCTTTCTTTCTTTCCTTCCTTCCTTCCTTCCTTCCTTTCTTCCTTCCTTCTTTCTCTCTATCGATATAACATGTCATTTGTCGACCCACCTATCCATCTATATATTTTTCTCTATCTTATGCAAGCCAACCCAAACTAAGTTCATCTAATCTAATTTACTTATCGTTCTATCTACCTAACTAGATATCTAGTCTATATGTCTATCTGTCCAATCTCCCTCTCTCTCTCTCTCTGACTAGCTACGAATTAACAAACTAACTATCTACCTATCTATCCATGTATTTATCTATCTTTTGCAGCGCTCCGCCTGCCACGAAATCTGTACCTGCCCTCGCGAATGAACTGCCATGAAATCTGTACCTGACATTGCGAAAGTGCTGCGCCTGCCACGAAATGCGTATCTGACCCTGCGAAAGTGCTGCGCTTGCCACGAAATCTGCACCGTACCTTGCGAAAGTGCTAGTTGCTGCAGCACAGAAGTTCCTTCTAAGCTTCCGTTGGCTGAAGCGAACCATGACCACGATCCACAGTTTTTTTTTAGCAAGGTACATGATGGAACCAGTGGCGATTTTTGCGCTTAAAAGTGGGTGCGGGGGTTGGGAGTAGTGTGAGAAGTGGCGGGAGTCGGAGGTGTGCTCGACTAGAAGGCCACAGCAAGGGGAGCTGTTGGGCCCGGGGCTGAAGGCCGCAAGCTTCTAATTATGGTTCCCTTGCCGCTCAACGGAAGTCTTTGCTGCATTCAGCCAGGATGTTCCAGCATCTTCCTCGTTCGACCGTTTCCCTATGAAAAGGGTCCGTGCGCCCAGCCCACATCAATGAGGATGCGAAGCCTGGAGGCTCCTGTCTGTGCATCCGCGACCCAGGAAGATGATGTCCACCACGCCCTTCTCGGCCCACTCGGACCCGGTGGGATGCATCTACCGTACCACGGACCGGGACATCTTCTTCAATAACCATCCTGAGGCGCGGGAGTTGGAGGGGATAATCTAAGAGTTGTTGTATTACACCCTGGGATTACAAACTTGGGAAATGACCTAAAATGGTTCAAGAAAACACGGTGTTGTGCGGAAATATGCCTATATGGGGTCATTTCCCAGTGGGTGCAATTTTTAGCGTGTAATACCGCAACCCTTACAGGATATGGGATGTTAGGGGATGGGCTTGGGCGAAAAGGATTTGTCTTATTCCAGACCTGTTTCTTTTCTTGAGGGGGATTCCCTCTGAAAGCCACTTTGGTTGTCAAAATGGGATTTTGTGCTGCCTAAGGGGATTCAATGGGCCATGATGTCGATCCGCCTCCATTTGTCTCAAGCTTGGGGAACCCGGACGTTGACTGTTCTCCTTGGCCATATTGCCGCTCGCCGTTGACAGTCAAGAAGCTGTCATCGCTGCGAATCACTGCAACCATCTCAAGCGTACAAGGCAGAAATGGGGGCAGAAGTACCATGCGGACACTTTGCAAAGTGAGACAAGTTTCGTCGAGTTTCCCCAAAACCCCCGAGGAAACGGTGGCAGCGCCGAAGTCCCGGTTGCCCGAGCTGGAGAGCAACACTTGAGGTTGATGGCGACTGAACGACCGTGTTGACCCCCAACTGCTTTCCAAGCACCGGCCAGTTCTTGTAATAGCCCATCTGGCTATCAGGCAAAATTGAACCACCTGGCGACCGCAGGTTTTAGTCCTTGTTTTCATTTACCAGAGTTCCATGTTGGGTACCTATTTTTGACCCGCGCCCAATTACCCTCCCCAAAAATGGGCCCTTGTCCATGTTGGAGACGCGTGGCCGTCACTCCCGAGCATGTGCCAGGGCAGCCCGAACAAGGAGCGGCGGCCCATCTGCAAGGGCCCCCTACTGGCAGTGGGCGCTGGCGGACTAAACCCGAAGTCGATCAAGCCCGTGGCCGCCTGGGACCAGGCGGGCGGCGGGAGATGAGCAGCTGGCAACTGGCCCAGTTGGCGCCCCTCTTTTTGGGGAGGTTCGGACATAGGAATACGGGGTTTGGGGGTGCTGGAGATTCCTTTTGAAGTATCAACATCCAAGCTTACACATAACAGAGGAAGGATTGCTTGGATGTCAAACCCACAGGTGGTTATAATCCCCCTGAGGAAGCGTCCGGGTCACATTTTCCAGAAGACCCTTGAGGTGCTGGGAGATGGTGTTACCAACATGTTGCTTGAGACTGTTGGTTTCCCAACACCTGTCAAATGCAAGTATTGAATGGGGGTGATCATTAAAAAAGGAAGAATAAACAAACGAAGAGAGCAACGTAGACTGGGATGTTCAAAGGCAATCCTTGATCCTTTCTCTGAGTTCCAAAAGTGGTCCTCTTTGTAGCGGTCCCCCTAGGGGTTATGGATTGGGACTGGCCAACTCTCCAGTTTGACCAGCCCAGGTGAATGGGTGCGGTCCAAACACAGTGGTAGCTGTGACCATGCACTTAAGCAGTTATCGCCTGCACAGAGCTTGGAAGCTGTGAAACGGAAACATGACGTCAAGCTATCCCCAACTAGCAGCCCAATACTCGTGAGCCCGAGGTGCTGTATGACTTGATTCCCATCAAGGGAGACACGCCCATGGACTTGGTGTGCCCATGGCAAACCTGGCCAATGAAGCAGGAACACATGACTGACTGACTGGTCTCTTGTGCCAAAGTAAGAACAGTACCACATTCCACCACAGAGTCGGTGCCTTCGAGCAGTGGTTTGCAGGGTGTCCAACTTCTTTCCCTGCTTGTACGTAGGGCATCCGCGTACCGCAAGTCTTGGGCTAATGTAGAGGTGGGAGTACCAGACAACTGCACTATCGTTGCCAAGAACACATGTATAAATATGGACACGTAGGTATGTTTACACGTACAAATGTGTCCACTAACGTTATTGCAATTTACTTCATGACCTTACTTTTGTATTTGCTCATTTGTCGTGTTTTGTGTTTGTTGAATTTGTTGTTTTTTTGGTTTGCTTCTTTTGGCTTATCCCTTTCCGGAAGGCTTCCGCAAGGTCCAGGTGTCACTGCCTCGCGCCTTGGGGAAGTAAGTCCCGACAGCTGAACGGGGCCCCTGGAAGACCACTTGTCTCGGAACGTGACGCCTTTTCTTTGCGGGGTTGCATGACCACTTTGCTCTGAAAGTCAGCGCCTTTTTTGAAGGTTCGATATCTTTGCTTGGCAGAATCCTTTGCCTTTGGGCTCCCACATGCAAAACTCTGAAACCCCAAAATCGATCAGCTGTATTTCTGCATCATACATATCTAATTCTTCATCGGGTGTCCTGTGGCTGGACAGAATCCTGCACCAGTTTGGATGGCTGAAGCTTTCTGCTTAATAAGCTACCCACCAGCTGTTTCGAGATCGACTTCCTCCATCAACAGCAGGGTGTATGTTTTTCGGTGGACGCCTCCCCCCCAAAAAAAACTAAACACATACACGCTGGTTTTCCTTTGGGTGTCCCTTTACGTCCACCCCGGAGGGTATCCAAAAGACGTTCACGCGCGAAGCGAGTTTCAGGCCTCAGACGAGATGCGCCACGCGGCGGCGAAGATTCGGCTCTTCTGCTTCGCCTGGACGCCCTTCCGGGGCGGCGACCAGGCCCCGCGCTTTCTGCCGCGAAAACGTGATCGATCGATCGAGCGATCGATCGCGCGCTCGATCGGGATGATGCGTGCGCGGGAAGGCGTGTTGCCGTAATCTTCAAGTGAAGCTCTGTATTTTTTTTTGCTCAGGGTAAGGCTCAACCGGCGGATGTTCCAAAATGGGTTCCGCCTTTGCTCAAAAGGGTGCAAGACACACCCACAGACCCTGAGACGAAGGTTGTGGAGCAAATCCGGGTTCAGGGCCATTTTCATCGAAGCCAAGAAGGTCGCTCACAAGAAAAATCAACTCTGTATTCCTGATTCTCGGAAAGGTCGTCAGAATCATTTGATTGGAACCCTTTCTGAGAAGGTTGCTAACTCTGTTATTTTTCCAACATCACTATGTGTGTGTGTGTTCTATGGTCAAAACACCCTTATTCTCGGGGTGCGCAGGGATGGTCATGGAACCCTAGCGGCTTTAGACCAGAAGGGTCCCTAGCAACAGAATGATCCTTGGGTAGGGTGTCAGGGTAGCATCGCATGCAGTTCGACGACTTCGAAAGTGTCAAGTAAGCTAAGAATTCTGGACGGGAGTGGTTTGTCCAATATCTTGCCTGGATGCTTGCCATCCCTTCTGGAGTGCCTGGCTTGCTCACTTGCTACCTGTATCATGGAGTCTGCCAGACTCACCATGAATTCGGGAGTCACTCTGAGTCAACCCTCACTTGGCGCTAGCAAAAAGGGAAGCCTCTCACCGGTCTCAGTGTTCAGTGTTCAGGGTGACCAACGCTTGGCACCTTTGGTTTGCTGGTGGGGTCCTCAGGGCCAAAGCCTTTTGTTACGAGAGCACGGCAGCTTTTGGTGCTCCGACAGGCAATGCTGGCAGAGGTGACCCTGCAGTACAACAAGTGTGATGGCCACGCCTTCTTCAGCCGCTCGTTTGACAAATGCGGCGCAAAAAAGCGATATCACGTGACACCTCTTTTGGGTTTAAATGAGTGTGCGTTTCAAGGTTCACTAAATATGGAACAGAATCAACACATTACTTTTGGTTGGGGGATACAACCTGAGGTATTTCTTGGACGTTAGTCTTTTGAGAGATTGGCAGAAAGCAAAGGCCGTTTCGGAATCAAGGCTGTGTCACCCTGCGGACTCTTGGTGAATGCTGGCAATTGAATTTGCCAATGCCCCAGGCAAACTCGGTTGAATTCCAGCAACGGGGGAAGAGTTTCCTTTGAAGGATCCTGAATTTCAGGTCCGTCAGAGCGTCGCGCGCACCTGAAAAACGGGGGACACGGACGGATGTCGCGTGTTTTTCAGCCGGGGGTCTCTGGTCCGAAAATCCCCACCGAGGGGTGGACCAAAGGTTTTCCTTTTCGAGGCCCTGGAAACTCGGTGGCTCCCGTCGTCCTCGGGAGTTTTTCTGGCTTTTTTGGCTTTTTGGTGTTGGGGTTTCCCATGAAAAACCCGCTTCAAGGTAAATATTTTTAGCAGGGGATCTGAGGGCAGCCCGGAAAACTCGGCAAAAAATGAATCATTCAGGGGCTCCAGATTCTTGACTTTTTGGGCCCTCAAGCAGCCAGGTGTTGAGACCCCAAACACCTCCGGGGTGTCTTCCATTGAAAGCCACAGCCTCTGGGGTGATGGAGGGGCCTGGCTCTTCCATGAAAAGCCCGAGCCTGGAAAATGGCCATGGGTCAAAACCCCATACCTCCAGTAAACATCCCAATCCCCACCAGTAGTGCTATCCCAAAATAGTACCATTGGTTTTGAACTATTGCCAAATGAAGCAAGTCTTCATTAAAACCCCCAGCCTCTGAAAATTATAGAATGATGAAGGGCCTTAAAACCCCCAGCCTCTGAAACTGATAAAATGATGAAGGGCCTTCAGGTCTGGGTCTTCCATAAAAAAACCGGATCTTCAAAGCTGGATCGCTAGCGAAGGCGACCGCTACCCCGGCGGCGAGAAGCGTGAGGACGTCATCGTGGTGAAGGTCCCGGAGCAGCGGGTGCCCCGCACGGACCAGCAGTGGCTGCAGCTCAGCGGTCTCAGGGTCCAGTTGCTTTCCCTTGGTCCCCAGCTGGGTGTGGCTCAAAATTAAACGATCGGAGGGGCAAACCGCAGGTTTTGGTGTCCATGTTTCGACTTAGGTTGATTTTGGTACCGCTTTTTTGAGCCACCGCCAGCTAGGTGCCCTCTCTTTTACCCCTGTTTTGGTTGGGAGGCAACCACCCTACTAAAATAGGCTACAGAACAAAGTTGGTACCCTTATTCTATCCTCTCCACTGGAGGACCGTGCTAAGAATATCTTCAATTGCCGAAATGAGTAATTATTTTTTGTATTCGTCCCTGTTGGTTTCAAAAGGAAACCTATCACTGGACATATTTTTTCCCTAGGGGGCTTAAGCAATTGGACGTGGCCCATTTATGGAAATTGGGGACGAAGGGGGTCGCGTCCCAAAGCTTCTATTTGCTGAAAATAATATCTGATTGTTGCAACAAATCAGCCAGTTTAGTGTTGGTTTACGAATTGTCCTATTCGAAAAGTAGTATTGGGGGGCCCGGCAGTCCAGGGAAAACGATGTTTATGAATGGGGTGCAACTATTTCTAGAGGGAAGGGATTATCAAAGGCTTACCTCTGCTTCTCTTTCTTCAGCGCAAACCCCAGCCTTGTTAGGGGGTACTCCAAAACCAATACTAGATCAACACTAAAACCAGAAAGAAAAAAACAACAACACCGAACCAATACCAAACCAATGTTTAAAAAGCAATTCAACACCAGCACAAAGCCAAAAAACACATTGATTTCTGCTATTTAAATTCTGTACGCGGAAATCACCATGTTGAATGATTTTTTGAGCCCGGAAAGGGGACCCCGTTTGGATGCTTTACCGTAGCGGCAAAATCCGACCCCTAAGTACCCTATTAATAGATATTGTTCCCCCCAGGGAATATTTATCATTGTGGGGGGTATTACACATTTAGGAGGAGTAGCAAAAAGCGTGAGTGATTTGGTTACACTTCCCATCTATCTGTCATCATTACATGCGAGGAGCATCGCGGGGCACCCCCCCAGAGTGGCTCCCAGAGCCACCGTAAGCGTTTCTTTTTTCTCCTTTCCCGAGGAAATCAGAGACCGTGGGGGTATGGTAACCGGAGCTCCTAACTGCCAGCGTTTTGAGCGAGTAAACATTTTCATGTTTTGGTTTGGGTCTGTCAGGTGCCAACTTTCAGAGAAGCAAATTAGCAGGGATACTGCGGAAGCAGGGATTCGTGCTTATTTTGCATGCATGGAGAGCTGCGCAGCCCCAATGTTTCGGCTCTGTTGTGTTGCCCTAAATCACAAGGCAGGGTCGTTGCAGGTTTTGCTGTTTCCCCCCAGTCCGTCGCAGCGGGACAGGTTCATAGCGAGATCATGTTGCAGCTGCTGGCGCGCGAGCTTTTCTTTTCCAAGCCCTGGCCATGACAATGAGTTGGGGGCTTTTTGACCTGTCATGAAAGAGAGGCGTAATGCGAGGACTGCTTGCTTCCATGCGTTGTAGGGACTTGGTTCTTAGCTTCTTAGGGCTGCGGGGTCCTGAGTCCTGAGCCCGGGGCCTCGAATTGGGCCGCTTTCCAGGAGTGTTGCTGTTTGCCATTTGAGATGCCTGGAGGAGACTCCTCGTAGCACAGTAGAATTCAGTTTCATGTCGTTTGTTGGCCAACATGTCTGACATTTGCACTGCATTTGCAATTCAGCTGTCAGCCAGAATGACGGCATGCTTGCGCAGCAAGCGGAAGTAGCGGTGATCAGGAGAATGCTGATAAGGGGGGCGGTGGTGGACCAAGTGCAGTCTCTGTGCTGAGTTGTTTGATGGGTGGAGAGAGATTGGATGAAAAAAGGAGTGCTGTGGCTGGGAAGGTGAGAGGTGAAGCGTTGTCTGAGGGATTAAGTACAAATGAAACTCCTAAACCAAGGAGTCTCCTCAGAAGACCCTTCAAGGAGTCTACAAAGAAGTCTGCGAAGGAGAGTGCCTTCTTTAAGCAGTCTCCTTCATCAAAAAGAATGGTCACATCGTTTGGGAACCGTGAAACAATACACTTGTGAGTGGAGTACTATAGCCATGCAAAACAAAACCCAAAGCCAAGGCCTGGCAGGTGAAGCGCCACTCCTGGCCAGAGCCCGGGAGCCCGGCATTCCGACCCCGTGTTCCGGAAAAGCGGACCTGTTCAAAAAGGGCAACACGTTTCATTTTTGTGAAACCAAACTGAACGGGCTTTCAAGGCAAAGCACGGGAGGCCGCAGTTGAAAGAACCTTCATCAACACCGCCGCTGCATCATTTGTTGGCTTCCATGTGGGGAAATCAAGCCTGTGTTGTCAAGCTCTTCTCCGCACGTGCGACACCAAAAGCGCGTCCTTGCCATGCACCTTAGATGACCACTCCAAGTGTGAATACAGAAACCAAACCCTTTGAGGCCCTTTGGTGCATTTTGCTTGGATGTTAGGACTTTAACTTTTTGCCAACTACTGGGTTTTCCATTAAACCACTAAAAGTTAAACTTTTGGCAGGGGAGCAAGAAGCAACCGAGCCCTGTTGAAAAAAAGAGGAAGCTCCTTGACTGCATCTGAGTGCTGGGACGGAGGAAAAGAAAGCTCCTTGATATAGGAGCTTGCTGCGTCTGTATCTACATTGCGTCTGAAAGCTGCAACTTTCAGGAGGCTCCTTGCAAATAGGAGCCTCCTGTTACTGCAAATATGTTAGGCTTTTCTCAAGCCAGCATTCCAAAACAACATTCGCAGTATGGTCAACACCAGCATGTGAACTTTGACATTATATGCAGGGCGAGCATGTGCAAATGATAACTTTAGTCGGCATCTCTAATCAAGAGGCCTTCCCTCTTTTTACAGCTTGGCTTTTCGTGCAGCCCTCAGTGTTCCCAATGAAGGACACTGAAGTGATGCTGGGTCTGCCTCACATGGCAGGACACCAGGCCTTCTTGCCACCGACCACGTGAGTCAGGCAGGACTGCTCAGTAAAAGGGCTTGAAGCTTCAGCGACTCCTTGCTGATGACAACATCCTTACAGGACCTTTGGGAGCAGCCTCAGGCTAGCACGCGCTACCGGTGGCTCAGCCTCAGCGGCGTTTGGAGCCGCCTTAGTCTGTGCTCAGCATCAGCACCTTTCTTCTTGGATGCTGGCTTCTTCATAACGATGGGCGCTTCCAGCATTGGGGAGTCTGGTAAGCCGCTCTTGGTGGGCTCCAGCTACATTGCTTGCTGGCCTTGGCTTCACAGTGGCTTCCCAGTCCATGCAGGGTTTGGGCTGACGCAGGCGCAGCGCTTGGCGGAGCTTGGGCAGGCTGACCCTTTCTCTGAAGAAAGGATCTCCACAGAGTCTGTGCTGGACTTTGATCCAAAGGAAGTGTTCTTGCGAGAACTCCACTTCAAGTGCCCCCTTCTTGATTATTGGCCTTCTTGATTGGTAGGCTCACGGACAGGCCATTGCAGGCCCTCTATGGCCTTCACAATGCTCACGGGCAACTTGGCTCCAGCGGTCTTGGCTCGAGTCGAGCAAGGATCATGTCCTGTTGGCATGGCACTGCAAGCCTGAGAGCTTGCAGCAATATCCAGAAAACAGGCGGTGGCGCACTCATCAGGAGACATGTGGCCCACGTCGAGGTTGGCCTCGAGAGGAGCAGCACTCTTGATCAAGCAAACTGTTGTGTTTGTGTGTCTGACGTGTTTCTTCAGCTTTGTTTATTTTGAAAGTGTATTGCTCGGAGGGGTTCGGGTATCGCTTTCAGAAAGTTTGGCATGATGTCCGGAAAAAATGCTGAGTGGGCAATTTTTTCCCGGGAGCGATGCAAAGTATGTTTTCACGTTACGGAAGGACAGTCTGCTTGCGCCTCCCCCTTTGTCGGTTTTCAGTGTTTGCTTTCCAGCCAGCGCCAGCAAGGATTTGCCTGCCACAGTGGAAGTTGCAAGTGAGAGGCAAGATGTTCAAGAGCTGCCTGGACAAAGGGGACCCAGAAAGCCTGACACAAGTGCTGCGCTTCCTGCTGGTCTACTGCTCGTGCTGCAGCTACAGGTCGACTCCCCTCTCACCCCTCTCAAAATGCTTCCGATTGCTTTGATGTGGGGATGTAGTGCCGCACCTCATAACATGGCCGTTCCGGATGAAGTCCTGCGCCATGCCCGGAAATGAGGCTAAGCTTCTCATGCTCTATGCGAACAGAGTCCAAGCAGCTGAGTCCAGAGACCAGAGACCAGAAGCCAGAGAAACACGCAAAGCACACCTGTCGCATCATTGTGGGGAGGTTAGGGGTGGGCGAAATGACATCTCCAAGAAAATGGTTTGGTGTGCCTTCTCCACCCTTTTCATTTTTGGAAGAAGAAGGGCTTTGCTGAGCAACATCAACATGTTTCGGCAGGGATTTTGCTTTTTGCAATCACTTCTGCTACTCTTCAATCTCATTGTGAGGTCAGCCTTTTGCAGTTTCCTGGCCCCACGGCAGCAAGCGGCCAGCAACATATTTGCATGACATTTGCCGACCGGCCTGTCAGAAGCCGTTTTCAAGAAACTTCCAGCTGAAGAGTTTGCAGACGTTCTTGTGGAAAAGTCTTTGTGCCGCTGTGTGCCAGAGGTATGAGTCCTGGAAAGTAGCAAAAAATCCACCCACCTGTATCCCCGCTTCCTCCGTATCCCCGCCAAATCGCCCAAAGCTTGCTGTCCTTAGAGTTTTCGGAAACAAGAAAAGGGCCTACAAGTTGCAAGCCCCTGAGGGCAAACCGCTGCCACGGGAGCTTTGTCCCCGCTTTGAATACCCCTGTTGGCTACTTAGCAAGAGCTTCTGCTAGCAGAACATACTTTCTACTGCACCAAGTCAATGTCTAGACTCAATCATCTCCAGACCCGTAAATAATCAGCAGCACCCAAACTTATTGACACTTGGTCACAGGCTTGTAAAGGCTGATGATAAGGCCTCACCGTCGCCCCTGTTAAACCAGATAGGAAGCTTGGGGAACACATCCAGGTTTGGCCTTATCGCCTCCATGGGAGAAAATTACTTGCTTCTTGGGCCTGGCCCCCCTGGGTTTCCGGGTGACATATTGGCCGTTTTCAGTTTTGGAGAGAGCGGCCTTGGCTGAAGTTGGCACAGGTATCATCGCAACATGGTGGGCCTTATGCCGACCTGGGACCATTTGCTTCGCACAGGCTTGGCTGAGCAGTACGAGCCTTGCGCGCGCAATTGCGGTTGCGTTGCGGGATTCATGATTCAGCGCCTCGATTTTTTGAACTCAACATACTCGACGTACTTTCTGTCAGTATGGGCTGGTCTCAACATGGAACTTTCAAAGTACACGGTCCGCCTTGGTTTACCTTTAGCCTCAAAAGAGGTACTCACAACAAACAAACACCCATTTCATGTTGAAGGGGTATCTTACTAACTCTGCAACACAAGTGTTTCATTACCAGGAGATACTTGAAAGGGGATGACGCGCTGTGCGGTCACCAAGTCAAGTTGGAACGTTTGACCCGACACTCTATGTCAGTGGCATGCATATGTGACAAGATACGAAATGTGGCTTGTATCAGCTTGACATCTGTGGATGGACGAAATCCAATTCGTACACTTTTGAAGCCACGCATCACGTTTTGTATTTACACGGGGGGGATCGTATATCATTTCGCTGGGTTTCTGAACGGTGGTGCCTACGAGGATTTCACCCATGAACAGTATGGGCCACGTTGTGCCACTTGTACATATAAAAGCCACTCTCAAAGGGGGGGGCCTCATTTTAGCACGTGCAAAGATTGGACAAGTTAGTGATATCGCTGAGACAATTCTAGAGATATGGGTGTGGCTGAAAGTTCAAGGGCGAGCGTCATATACGCAGGTATTAAGCTTTGGTTCCATTTGCCAAGGTGCCATTTCGGTACCTAGTTTTGAGCTACACTAGGTCCTTCAGTAGTGCCCTTTTACCTTTCTTGGTGATCGTTGCCCTACTAAATTAGACTGCGGGAAAAAGTTGGTACCCTTATTCTAACCTCTACTACTGGAGGACAGCCATATGTTGCGAGGTTTTCCCTCCAGCTCGAAGATGCCCTGTAAGGACTGGGTCATCAACACCGAGTTCCGAGCTCAGCAATGTAAGCACGGCGGCCTTTTTTGCGAGGCAGGCAAGCCCGGTGTTGCATCGTTTTCTCTCTCTCTCTCTCTCTCTCTCCCTCCCTCCCCCTCCCTGTGGTCCCCTAGTGATTCCGTTCGCATCTGCAGGCCTTGATTTCTGGCGAGGATTATGGCATCCCTCAGTGGCAGAAGCAAGGGTCATGTTTGAAGTTGCTTTGAGAGGATTTTCCGGCTTTGGGATCGAACCGCGACCTTGTCAGGGCCAAGGAGAGCCATTCTCTCGGCCAATGGCTGCAGCCCGATTTCGGATTTCGGGTTTGTTGGTTTCGAACTCAAAAGTCGTCCACCTCAAAAGGGAGGGGGGGCCCTACCGTGGATGAACGAAATCCATTTCGCGCCACCTAAAACACCCTGGAATGATTTGATTCCCGGTTTCAAAGTGGTGCAGAATTTGGTCCATCCAGAGTATTTCTACCAGGGTCACTGGCTGAGGTTAGACCACTTCGTGAGTCCCAGCCGCTGCCGCCTCGCCATCGTCAGCCTCCTCGGCTGCAGAAAAGACGAACAAAAACTGGTTGCTGCGGTTGGAAATGTAGGTCTTCCAGCCAGGTGCCACAAGTCTGTGCGGTTGATCATCTTTACTGGGAAGCGCTCCCCAAACAGCCAGTACACCACAAGAAGACAGACACACACACACACACAAAGTCTAAGCTTCGTCATTCGCATTGAGACGGGACACCAAACGACCAGTGCCTCTGACCAGCCAGCTCATGTACTACGTCCTCCAGTAGAGAGCTTAGAATAAGGGTACCCACTTTTTGCTGGACGTCTATTTTAGTAGGGGAAGCCTCCCAACCAAAAAAGGGGTGAGAAAGGGGGTGCCATCTCTTTTTCTTCCAGCGGCACTGGGCAATTGGGAGTCTAGCAACCAAGTAGTTGAGGATTGTTCCAACATAATGTTGACCCCGGATTAATAAACCCGTCCTACTATTAGGGGGGTGTTCCCTCCAAAAGTGATGAATCCCCACTAAAAGGGGACACCCCCCTATTAATCAACCAGGGGTTTATTAATCCGGGGTTAACATTGGCACCGTCGGGCAAAGATAGAACATGGAGCATGGACCCCTGTTTTGGGAAATGGAAACCAACCTCTTGGGGTCATTTGGGAGATATGCTGTGGATGGACGACATCATGCACCACCTAAACCGTGGTTTCTGATTCGTTGCCCGAACGTAAATACCAACAAACGTTATGGTTTCAGCCATGGTTTCCGTTCGTGGTGCGAAGTGGATTTCGTGCGAATTGGATTCCGCAACCATCCACAGGCTTCAATCGACTTGAAGGGTTTTTTGACAACCTCCCTGCTAATGAACCAGGGTTATAGTTATGCCTCATTTGGGAGATACATATATATATATAGATACATATACCTTGGTGGCTCCCAGCCATCCCTTAGCTTTTGAGCCTTTCAGTGTTTAGTGGTAGTTTCCATTTAACCCTTTAAAAGTTAAACTTTTAGCGGGGGATCGGAAAACGGGCAGCCCAGTTTCCTGAGGGGAGCCATTGAGGTTAGCTCCAAGATACTGCCATTTCTGGCGCTGACAGCACGGCCGTTTCCTTACGTGTCCAAGCGAGTTGGATGATTCTCTGAGGTTTAAGAGCAAACCATTTCTGAAGGAGAAAAAGGTTACTTGGAAGCGTTTACCTTGGAAAGTTCTCAGAGCAAAAACTTCGGCCAAAGTGGACGAAGCTCGTGCCATGGATCCAGGCTACCTGCAGACGCTGCAGAAGGCATCGCCCACCGAGCGCCTTGCCTCGGGGAGTGGAGGACTGTCGGCGTGCGCTGTTTGGTGCGTTGAACGAACAACAATAAATTCATCGAATGTTCGCGCCAAAATAGGCAACCCCAGTATATTTATAGGGTGTCCCTGGGTTTAGTGGGGAATATTCTAGGGGTACCTTCCATTTCCATTCTTTCCAGGGATCCGAATCTTTTCCGGAAACCATGCAAAATCCCAGGGGAAGCAGCCGGTTTTTGAAAAGAACGATGGTTGAAAAGAATGGGGAATAAACCCCTAGACATATGCATCAACCCCAGTTTATTCATAGGGCGTCCCTGGGTCCCAAATAAGAACCTTTGCTTTTGGAGGGGAACACCCCCCCTATGAACTGGGGTTGATTATTGGGGGTCAACATGATGTGTGCGAAAATGGCTACATCTCATGTACAAAGGTGTATGTGTATGCGTGCGTGCATGTACATTTGTTAGTACACGTGCAAATACTTGGATTAGTCAGACTTACCTGGTTCGATTATGGTTTCACACGCTGAAGGTATTGATTGGTCTATTCATAAATCGACCGGTTTCTATATGTTGCAGCGCTTGCAGCAAAAGTAACATTAAAGTTTGTCAGTAAAATTGTCCAACAATGATAAAACTGGTCTGAGCACACCAAATGCGTGAGACATATTAGGCATACTCGTTTATGTTGTTGCATTCAATTGGTTTAATTAGGATATGTGTCCTGAACAATTCTGGCAGGTCATGCTGAAATTCACTGCAGCTACCGGTGGTTTGGCTCAAGGGGCATGTCCATTGCGGATGCCATACATTGAATGAATGAATGAATGGAATGGAATGGAATGGAATGGAATGGAATGGAATGGAATGGAATGGAATGAATGAATGAATGAATGAATGAATGAATGAGTGAATGAGTGAATGAACAGGTGTATGTACACGCAGTATTCAAGCACCCATTGGTACTTTGAGTTTCTTTTCTCAATGGATGCATCTGGCACACATGTTTAGAGTTATACCCGCAAGAAAAATAGCTTGAAATCTAAAATCAGCTACATGAAATGGAATGACATAGGCCAATGTCGGAATATGTATCAAACTCAACTATTATCAAATTCCATTTGCTTGATGTACCAACATACCAATGGTGATGCTATTTCAAAGGTCAAACATGTTCAGCATACTTCTTTTCAATCGGAAGAATTATATTGTGCATCATTGTAGTTACTATATGGCTCTTTGTTAGATCCATACTTCAGAAATATGCCGTATCTGACTAAATGACGTGACACGACATAGTATAGTCAATTTGAATATAGCTATGCTCCAATATGTGTTTGTAATCAGTGTATTCTCATTTGCCAAAGCGAGCATGACGATCATATCATACCAGTGTACATGGTTTATTGTTCGATGATGTTCCGAATGATGGTCAGATCATGTAAGCCGGAGATATGCCACTTGGATGAAATTTCTGGCCACACTGTAGGAGGAGCTCAAACAAAGGACTTAGGGTGAACAGTTTTTCTTTTTTTCTTGTTCTGCTTGGTTTTCTGGGATTTGTTGATTTTCCGGGGGACCTAAACAGAATCTGAAAAAAAGAACAAAAGCAGCCCACTAGCACCTGAAGACAGGAAGATCATGGGCTTGTTGTTTTTTGTATGTATATATATATATATTGCGTTTCTCCATTTTTTTGCGGAGTTGCTCAGGCACCCCTATGGAAACCAGGACTTGCATGTTTTTTTGTTTTTTCCCTGTTTTTTTGTTTCTTTCTCGTTTTGTTTTCTCTATGTATTTTGTGTGCTTTGTTGAAGCCGCAGAAACACTGGACTCATACAGAAAGGCACCTGCACAGGGTCCCCTGTTCTGGAAAATAGGGGGCCCACGATTAACAATGGTGGTGTTCCTTTGGTCTCCCGCAAAAGCAAGCTGAAAAGGATCCCCTCAAAACACACGGCCGGCTACGCAAAAACATCCGGATGAATCGGCCAAGCGGATGTAGGTAAGAGGCATCTCCAGCCAGCAACCCAAAACTGCTGGGTGTGTCTTTTTCAGGTTGGACCCACCAAAGTGGTGCTTTTCCTTGTTGTTTCCCTGTAAGAACATCCACAAAAAGGGTACTGGTACCCTCGAAAAAGCCACACCTTTCTTTTTTGGAAAGCGCCGAAGGGGTTCAAAAAGGTGAAACTTTGGCATTGGTTGGGTGCTGCCTGAGGCAAAAGTCTGCCCATGGGCCGCTGATGCTGATGTGGGGCAATGCCTTTGCGACTCAGCAACACAACAAAACACCCTTTCGCAGTGCTTCAGTGTAGCACCTCTGCCACTGTGTTTCGGTTTTGTACTTCAGTCTGAGATCACATGAGCATTGGCCGTTTCTTTCAGAAAGCCAGGGCCAACAGTCAACTACATGAAGCAACCATGGTGTTGAAATGACTTCGAACGATTCCCTGTCCAGCCACCAAACGCCACCCATGTCCAGCGCAAAAAATCCAGGTTGGCCCTAGCAAGCACGAGTGATCGAGGCCAAGGCCTGGTTTATTTTCGCCCCTTGCCCCTCCCACAGAGGCTTGTTTCGAAAACATGGTAGGTGTGCGTCCATTTGATCTGTGATAAGGGCACAAACTGGTGAATGTAGACCCCAGGTTGATAAACCTGTCCTATTCATAGATGTTCCCTCAAGCAATGAACCCCCACGTCGCAGTTCCATTAGCTTGGCGAATCCCAGTCCGGTTCCTTAGCTTAGAAGCTTTTGGAGTTGGTTTAGTGGTAGTTCCTTTTCGAATTTACACCCCAAGAATGTGAATCCAACTTTCAGCAGGTCTGAAAACGGGCAGCCCAGTACGTGAAAACTGACCTACCCGACCCAAATCCTGCACCATCCAAGAAACCCTGGAATGATGATTATCATGTAAAACAATGGTTTCAACTAGTAGTGCGAGATGGATTTCGCAACCACCGTATTAATCCACTTATCTCCACTTCTCTTTTTTCCCGAGGTTCCCCTTCGCCGTGCCCACGCCGTTTGAGGTGTTTAACCGAAAGATGGTGAGCCTCATGCGGGAGCAGTGGAAGCACCTGGGCACCACGGAGACCGGGAAGTCCGTGGGCGTGGGATGTCCGCAGTTCATGCGCGGACGACAGGAGCGCTCAGCGCGCGAGCGCGCGCGAGCGCTCAGCTCAGCTCCGGAGAGACCAGGAAACTGCCAGAACTTCCATTTGCTGATTTTTTTGTTTTTACTTTTCCCCTGGTGGTTTTAAAGGGAATCGATTTCACTGCTGGAAATAGGTTTTCTTTTTCACTTTTTGTCGGGGGCTTGAGCAAATGGAGGATAATGTATTGCGAGCTCACCGATTCGGAGGGTACAACCAGCTCACCGTGGTAAAGATCCTTTTGCTTGGGGATCCCTTATTTCAGCTTTTGGAGATAGTGTAATATTGATAGTTGCCTTCTCGCCAATTAACATGGGACCTGACGTTGGGTCCCTTTAAAAGGACAATTGTCCTCCAGCACTCCCCTGTCAGGTTCGATGTTAATCGGTGGGAGGGTATGCTCCGCAGTATACCTACACGTCTCTAAGTATGTGGGTGTGCACGGCGAGCTTAGTTGGGGTCAATGTTGACGATTTCACCCATGATCAAGTGTTGTTTTGCCTGTCATCTTGCGTACGATCGATTAGTGCTCATGCAGAGAAAAGCTATCCTGGTCCCCCAACAACTCCATCCGGGTAGCTGTGCAGGCAAACCTGCAGCAACAGCCGCACGACCTCATCCGTGAAGACAATTGTTCATGACACCTTTTTGGGGTCAACTAGATCATCTGCAGATGACTCAAATGAGCGCCTCATTGACATCACCCGTGTTGCCCAACACCGAGATTTGTGCGCATCTAGTTCTAGTTACAGTTGGTCAACCATGATTCGTCCTGACCCAACAAGTTCTGATCAAGGATGACCCAAGCACCGTGGTAGATGTTGCAACTGATGAACTAGCTTCAAACTTTGCAGCCGGAGAGCATCAAACCCCGCAAACCAGGGACAGTTGGCCATACTGTGGCTGGTGGCTGTATCTCTCATCTTTTGTTGGGAGGGAAATGGTTTGAGGGTGGAAGCCACTTCAGGAATACAAAGGTATCCTGTCCCAAAAGATGACTGAGCACGCCAGGAGTGGCCCGAGTTCTGCTCCCAGGATATCGTGCAACCCAGCTGCAAGGCATACTCATGTAGGTGGAATCCCAACTCGGTTTGATTCTTTTTCGTCCAGAAAGAGTCACGGAAGGGAGGCTATCCCAACAGATCAAAGGGCACCTTGTGGATTTTCAGAGGGACAGCAAAAAGGCGGCGCATGCCCCTATTTGCCAGTCTTCCTTGGCTTTCTTTCGAGCCCATGCTCAAGTCCCTTCCACTGCTTTTGTTCCAAATGAGAGCTTCTATTGAGTTTGCCTTCCCTTCGGCGCAAGAGGAGTGCCTGCCGGAAGGTCCTCGATCAAGCAGTCAGACATGTTCCAACATAGTTTTATGCGATCCCCAATCGGGGCCGGCCTTGGTGTGTATCCCTGGGCCAAGTTTTCTTGAGGTTTCCTTTAGCCACCAGTCCTTACATCCAAACAGCGGACGAGAGATTGCTACTATCTCGTTTGTTTTCTCATGGACCCCACCACAATGTACATCCAATAGAAGGGACCTTGTTTTGTTCGCCCTGCAACCTGTCTGTTTCATTATCCTTGTCGTCCAAAACTGTTTGGAATTCCAAAGAGTGGGCTCCGTAACTGTCACTTGCAAGCTGCGGCTTCCCGTAGCAGACTGTTCTGCAAGTTTAGATTCAATTTGTTGTAAAGTTCCATTCCTTCAATCTCAATACTGACTCTTCCCTTACTTCTGTCGTTGATGTGGGAGCGTGACTCAGCGCGTAGCCAATACTGTTCCAGGACAAAAAATCATCAAAGTCGAGCAATCGCTACTCCAATACTGATAGATCGACTTGGACTTTGATTGTCCCACGTTTGTTTGGAATGGCTTCCCCTATAAAAGATTCGCCCCCTTATCAATAAATAGTTGCTTGGGAGCAACCTGGGCAAACAATAATTATTAGGGTGCATTGTACTTTTAGGGGGAAGAAACAAAACGAAACGAATTCCACCCAGGAAGTGAGCTTTTGGTTGTCCCAGGTCTGTTTCTAAACCAAGCAACAACATGCTAAGCCAAGTCTTGGGGGGCTTAGTTCCAATGCAGCTTATAGGTCGATTTGGAGTGTTGGTTGTCCCAAGTCTGTTATCCCTTTCCCCTATTTAAGCAAAAAACAAAAAGAACCCAGCGTATCAACAAATATTGGCTCGCTCGGGTGCAAACGAAGTTTATGTCAATAGGGCGCCTGTATTAATGCGCGGAAGCGATTAAACTAAACAAATTCTAAACCACGGAGAATTGAACCCTTTCTTGCCAATCCCAGGGTGGCCACGGTTAGGTTCGGTTCGGTTCGGTTTCTGAAACCTTTTGAAAACCTTTCTCCGGTTAGTGGCGGTTACTCATAACCTTCCAAAACCTGCCGGTTTGCACGGTTAGTGCAGAAAAGTAAGATAAGGCTCTAGGTAACTCAGTCTGCTTTCGCCCACACTTCGCCAACTTCCACATCTCTGGCATCGCCATCCATCTGACATCGCCATCCCACACCACACACACAGACACAATTACACACAAACACAAACGCACAAACAAACAAACAAACAAACAAACAACCAACCAACCAACCAACCAACCAACCAAGCAAGCAAACAAACAAACAAACAAACTCACAAACACAAAAACAAACAAACGAACCATGCCACTGACTGATGCTGAGCATGTTGTTGCGCGCACGTGGCCTTGGGAAGCATCTCAGAAGTCAAAGCTCAAAAGCGAAAAAAACAAGTCACTGACCGCTGATGGGTCATTTTTTCTTGCCAAATTTCAGCGGTGTTTCGTGTGTTGCGAGCACTGCGGAAGCAACAATCAGAACCAGAAGCGGCCAATAATGCGGGTTTGTTGCCTTGACACGTGCAGCAAAGGGGCCTCAGCTGCGGTGGCCTGCTAAGCGTGCCAAAAGTTCTGGCAATCAGGCTGGTGGGGCGTTGGGGAACGGCAGGGCAGGCCCAGGGCAAGGCGGGAAGGCGCCGGGAGAGCAAGCCCTTACAGTGACAGCGGGCAACTCAGTTTTCCTCCCGTTCGGCCCGCGAGAAACTGTTCCAATCCAAGCCGGGCTGCGCAAAAAAAAACAACCCACTGACCGTCAGTAAGTTGTTTTTTTCTCGCGCTGCTGGCGCAGCCAGGCTGCAACAGGGTGCTCGGGCAATCCTGCGGGAGCAGGGGGAGTTGGTGAGACAGGTCAGGTTGATGCTCGGACATGTAGCTATTCCAAGAGTCCAGGCAAAGTTTGCGAAATCCCCTTGCTGCCGCTTTGGAACGGGATCCCGTGGCGGTGCTGTTGGCGACGCTGTCTGCGCCAAAGCCGTCACTGACCGCGGTGTTTTGTGTGTTGCGAGCACTGCGGAAGCAAAAATCAGAACCAGAAGCAATAATGCGGGTTTGTTGCCTTCACGCGTGCAGCAAAGCCCTCAGCTGCAGTGGCCTGCTAAGCGTGCCAAAAGTTCTGGCAATCAGGCTGGTAGGGCGTTGGGGAACGGCAGGGCAGGCCCAGCAAGGCGGGAAGGCGCCGGGAGAGCAAGCCCTTACAGTGAACAGCGGGCAACTCCGTTCGGCCCGCGAGAATGTTCCAATCCAACCCGGGCCGCGCAAAAAAAACAACCCACTGACCGTCAGTAAGTTGTTTTTTTCTTGCGCTGCTGGCGCAGCCAGGCTGCAACAGGGTGCTCGGGCAATCCTGCGCGGGCAGGGGGAGCTGGTGAGATAGATCGATGCTCGGACTAGCAGCTAGTTTGGCAGTGCAAGCAAAGATTACGGGTTCAATTCCCCTTGCTGCCGCTTTGGAACGGGATCCCGTGGTGGTGCTGTTGTCTGCGTCAAAGCCGAGCAGCCCAAAAAAACAAGATCACTGACCGCTCGTTTGCTTGCGGGTTTGTTGCTTTGACGCTTGCTGCCCCTGCAAACCTGGAGACGGTTCGGTTTCTGTTCGGTTCGGTTCGGTTCGGTTTGTGGTTTGTTTCCGGTTTTCTTGCGGTTTTGAAAACCGGTTCGGTTAACCGGTTTCCGGTTCGGTTTTCAGCCTTCCTGCAATCCACTTTTGGTTGTCCCAAGTCTGCAATCTAAACCAAACACTAAAATAACAAAACAACACACAATTCAGAATTAAATACTAACATAGCGATCAAACAAAAGCAAAGCTCAAAAATCAAACCTAAAGTCAAGCCAACACAGATCTGTAGACAAAAACCAAAGCTCAAAATACTAAGTCAGGCGAAGTGAGCTTTTGTGTACCCAGGTCTGCAAACTAAACCGAAAGCCACAAAGCTCAACAGACCTTCCATGTCCATTCTTCATTCTTTCCAGGGATCTCAGGAAAGCATGGGACAACCCAGGGGAAACGGATCCGTTTTTTGGAAAGCTCAAAATGCCAAGCCCAGTCTGCTGCCTTTTTGCCTTTTGCGAGGTATCCGAACCTCGTGGAGGGGGTCTTGCGTGGCGGCGCAGCGGCCTACGGCCGCCCGGGCTGTGGCCAAGCAGATGGCACCACCAGGCTCGGATTTCCGGGGCTAATGAAGCCCACAGGTAGGTGGGGTGTGTTTTTTGTTTCCTTTTTTTTTCCGGGGGAACCCCTTTGTGCTGGGTTTTAAGGGACGCCAAAGTCTTTCTTGTAGGGGCAAAACCACTTTGTGGTCTTTGTGTTAAAGGAAAACCAAAAGGAACACAGAAGCATTTGTTGACTTTCTTGTCGGGAAAACCACTTGTTGGTCTTTCAGGGACACCAAAAGGAAAACAGAAGCAATTTGTGTCTTTCTTCCAGGGAAAACCACTTGTTGGTTGATTTTAAGGGACGCCAAAAGGAACACAACAGCAACAGCAGTTTTTTGTTGTCTGTCTTGTAGGGAAAACCACTTTGTGGTTTTTGGTTTTAACGGGAATCCAAAAGGAAAACCCGTTGCGCCATTTTTTTGGGGTCTCCTCTAAAGGGGGGTCTCCTCTAAAGAAAAGACATGCCCAAGTAGGTTATATTCACTTGGGTTCCTTTAATAACTTTTGGTTTAGAAAGGCCCCAGGTGGAAGAGCGTGGACTTGCTTTGGCAACTCCACTGCGTCAGCTACCCACTTCCTCATTGGACAAGCCTGGAGGTCCAACTCAAGTAGGTTTCGTCTATGGGACGGCACCAGTTGGGATATGTTTTCTGCGCGGTAAGCCACCGAACCACCTAGTTCCCAACAGGTGCGAAGCGGATTTTGTCCGTCCACCATATGTATATATATATACACACAGGAGCAACACCCATTTTATTTTTTGGGGAAGGGTGCAACCCAAAGAAACGCGAGCGGCCCACACTTGCATTCCTCCAACGTGTCTTGGAGCCGCGAGGAATCGCATCCCGTTTCAGCTGGGATGCTGGGAGATGCAGAAGAACCCCTACGGCATGTCGGAGGAGGGCAACCTGGCGAGAGCTTCTCTGCGTTCCCAGTGGCCCTTTTGATTCCGCCGCGGTTTTTTGCCCGGTTTGTTTTTGGGGAAGGGGTGCCCCTTCAAAATTCAACCAAGCCCAAAAAGGATGCCGCTGGGCATTTGAGAATTTGGTTTGAAGTTCAAGCCCTTGAGATCAATGAGGCAAACCTGCCTGAAGTGACCTAGCCCTGTTCGATTCAAAGCCAACCTTCCATGGGGTCCAACCAGTTCGAGTAAGTGACGACTGAGCTCCTCAACCGGTCATGCAGCCTCCAGCCTGGCAGTCTGGATTATTTATCCGCCTTCAGGTGAGTCGGATGCCATCCAAGAGTTCGCGCAGATCCAGAAGATGAAGGAGCTGGGGAGGTTTTCAGGGCGGCTCTCACGGTTTGACTCGGCAACCCCGGCAACCCCCGGTTTCGGGAGTTCTGGTGGAACGCTTTCTTGGTTCGAAATCACCATGTTGCAAAGAGGAAACTCATGCGCGCGGTAAGTTAAGGCGAATTGCGCCCACCAAATTGCCATGTCTCGGCGCGACAAATGTCGCCGCTGGTTGACTAAACCATCCGGAGTTGAGCAGCGGTTTGTCCAAAGCCCTAGGACGAGCGCGAAGCTATGCGGCGATATGCTGGAACTGAGCAAGCGACTTGTCCGGAACAGCGATTGTACCAGCAAATCTTTGTGGCAAGCGGAATCCCAAGAATAGTTAAACCTCAATACATGGGTGTTGCTTGTTTGCGAGCCTTTCTCCATGAGCTCATCGTGAATCGTGAAGGGATGACTTTGCGAGTTGTAAAGTCATGACATGTCATGACTTGCAAATGACAACTTGGTGAGCTCATCCCATGTCATTCCCCGCAAAACATTGGATGATGGTGCTTATGGATGGCTGATCGCTGGTCACATAGTGCTCCTTTTCTTGCTGGTGCTCAGTGAGGAATCAGGGAATTAAGCTGGGGATTCCCTTAAAGGAAACCGTAGGCAATGGTTTATAGAGGTCATTCCCTCATGCCATGCTGATTCACGGTGGCGAGTTCCAGTGGTGTTTCAGGCTGAAATGTGGTTGCCCAGCCAGCAAAAAAGAACTGGCCTCGCCAATTTGTTTTACGCTTGTTGATATTTGGGCGCCCTGTCTGCAAAACAGGAACTTGCCGCAAGCCGTTGTTTGCATAGGTGTCCTTTTTGGTTGTTTTGCTGGAAGAATAGGTAGCCCTGGTTTCCCTGGTGGTTTAATCATCTACCAGGGCCATCTATTTCCCCTAGAAGGACACCTATGGTTGTTTGTGGTTTATGTTGCGCCCGCCCTGCAAGACAGCCTTGCCTTTGTGGCTACAAAAGCGCAGGGCTCCTTTTTGTTGTGACTTTGGGGACAACTGCAGCCATAGGTGTCCTTTTGATCGGTGAGCCGTTGTTTGCTTGAAAATAGATGGGTTCCACTGATTCCCTTTGGTTCTTGTCCTTGACCAGTGCCATCTATATCTCCAAAAGGACTCTGGCACCACTTAAGAACCCCTGGTTTCTGATTCGTTTTCCCCACAAATATCGAAGCCAACCGTTTTGGGTTTCCACCATGGCATCCATCCACAGTATGGGTCGTTCCTCTTTTGGAATGAGGGGAAGAATTTGGCAATAAACTGGTATTAAACTACCAAAACCAGGGGTCATTCCATCACTTTCTTATTTTCCGTAGTAACCTCTTTTCCTGCCATATAAGTCATTCCATCTTTCTGAGGAGTGGGTTTTGGGAAACCACGAGGAAACTACATGGAAGCCAGCCTCTTGCATACGGAAGCGGATCCCCAGGCAGAGAACTACAAGCTGTGGTTCTCAGCGAAGAACGTGCCCGCCACTTCGCTCGGAACGAGGGGAGACACGGCATAGCTTGGACCTCGAAAGCGGTCGACCTCCGATTTTTGTAGGGTGTCCAATTTTGGTTTTCCTTTTAAAGCCACCCCAAAAAGGGTGCCCTCAAGAGAATGACGCACCCACATGGGGTGCGCAATCAATTTGATCTGGGCCTTTTCAAAAATGAACTAGTTTTTTGTCCAGGGCTCCGCTGTTGGGTGGAAAAAGGGTACAGGGACCTTCGTGTATAAACACTCCTGGACCTCCCAGTGTACCATGATTTGCTTGTTCAACACGTAAACATGTCAGAAGCCGTTGCTTTTGCTGTCCGATGTGTGGCAGAGAGCGTGGTTCTTCCACACGTGTGGTACGCCTTGTAGTTTGGAGCTAGAAAGCCCATTGCTGCGAAGCAATTTCTGCGCAGGTTCCTGTAAAGGGCGGGACACACCAGCAAGACCCCTTGGAGCTTGTGTCGTTTGCGGGTCATTGCCCAGCAACGCAGCCAGTTTTGCGTGGCAAGATGTTCTAAGGTAGTTACCAATTCCCTCAAGGTTTGGCCACTTTGTTTCACGCAGTTGTTTCAACTTTTGCCAACTAACGGGTTTTTCCATTAAACCACTAAAAGTAAAAACAGAAAGCAACCGAGAAGCTTCGTTGCCCCCGAAGCCGGTCTTCAGCGGCGCACGAAAAACGCGGCGCTTTCCGCAGCCCGCTGCTCCGCGGAGCGGGCAGGTGATCCACCACATCGTGGGGGCGGAGGTGCACAAGTTGGCGCGAGAGCTTCTGGACCCCGAGCCCGAGAAGAAGAAAAAGACGCGCGCGCTTTCGCCGAGCGATTCAGCGGAGCGGTTGCGGCACCATGAGAGATGGTAATTAGCGTGCACCTGGAGTCTCCATGACCCTTTCAAAATAGGTGCATGACCCCATGATTTTGGGTAATGACCCCATTTTTCAAAGGTCATGGAGACTCCAGGTAGCTCGGACAAGGGGCATTTTTTTCATTGGTGGTTCCCAGCCGTCCGGTTCCTTAGGCTTGTTTAGCTTTTTGGGGTTGGCTTTGTGGTGGTGGTGGTTTCCACTAAGCCACTGAAATACTTTTAGCACATCTGAGGACAGAGCATTGTGAACAACTCTGGATGCGTAAATTGCGGGGGCGGTTGGTTCCTCTTGGGAAGATGTCGCCTGGTTTGCGATGCTTGTAAAGGAAAACCCAGAACAAATCATCCACATATCAGGGTAGTTCTGGAAATCAGCCGCTTTGCTTTCGAAGCAAGGAGTGACTTGAGTCAAACATGTAGGGCAGGTGAGAGAGTTGGAGGCCCCACATGGCCGACAACTTGTTGATTTGTTTGAGGCCCAGCACAGATTCCTGTTCTTCCATTTGTTCAAGAATATTTTTCCTAATTTTCCCTGGTTGGCTTTAAAGGGAATCTATCACTACTGGATTTATGTTCAGTTTTTCCAGGGGGCGAAAATGCCAATGGTGTTTGAAAGGCCAGAGCCGCGCTGGAGCAACTGGACAGCCGGCGGCTGAGAGGTCACACGCGCACAAAGCCCCTATTCATGGTTGTTGTTGGGACACATTTTACATTTTTGCTTATTTTGGTTTAGTTGGAAATCCCCACTTAACTGCAAAACCAAAAAAAATGCTCCCCTTCCAACGTCAACCAAGTATTGGCTGGTTTAGTGGGAGGCTCAGTACGGATGACAGTAAGGCCCGCATAAACCCCCCCCTTAAATGTTTTAGTAGAACCGCAAACTTCAATTGACTCAATCATCATCCTGGAAAGACCATTCTCGGCTTTGGTGGGTTCCATCCATGTTGGCCTCGAACCCCTTTCCTCTCTCAGCACGGCTCATGCTAGTGGATGTTGCGCGCGTTTGACCCAAATTAGTTCCTCATAGACTCATAGATTAGCGCTTGTATTGATTTAGGCTGGACTACTTGAAGGGGCGTCGTACTTAGTAAGTGGTTCGAGCACCTGGTCAGACACCCCACCAAAGCCATGATTGTAGTCTCCGTTCAGTGGGTTCAGGCTTACTAACCACTTACTAGGTAATACGCTTTTTGAAGCACGCGAAAAACGAGCACATGCCCCCCGCATAATTTCCGCTGTGGTGAATTGCTTGGCTTCTTCCCCGAACATCGCTTGCCCCTGAAAGTAGTCCCGATGGCACCGCTCTGCTTAGTGCCGCACTCGGGCACGGGCCCTGAGGCATGCAGGCATCCAGCGTGGGGGGCCCGGGCTGCTGCGGACGAAGTCCTGGGTGCGAAAATCGAGTTTTCAGGGCGTCGACACCCTGAAAGGAAAGCCGCCATTTCTGGGGGCGCGCAGTGCCCGCGTTTGAGGTTGGGTGTTCCTTTGCTCGCTGTCAGTCAGACCATGGCCGCTCCAGTGGAAGGCGTCATGCCGGCCATGTGACAAACTGAGTATTTTTCCCTTTCTCATTCACTGAGGAATTAAGTGGCCGCGCCTTCTTTTGACACTCGACCAGCTGCGGTTTCCGCTTGTATTGTTTGCTTGGTCATTCCATGCGGATGCTCATGTTTCTTACATTATTTTTGTTAAAGGGGACCCTTTTGGGGCTTCTTTCAGAGGGGGAAAAAAGCCACGGGAAACCATTCATGTTCAGGTTTCCGTTCCCCTCGCTTTTGGCAGCCTGAAGGTGCCCCGTGCAGTGGCATCGAGCTTGAAGGCAACGGCGCAGGACGGATCGCTAGGAGTTTCCCATGCCGGGGTGCGAGAAAGCCAACAATTCTAGGTCCCCCAGCAATTGGTGCCGCTCGTTTACCCCTTTTTTGGTTGGGAGGGGTTCACCCCTACTGAAGTGGAGACTACAGAAAAAAGAATTGGTACCCTTATTCTAACCTCTCAAAACTGGAGGACCTAGAGTTGGTTTCGTGGTTGGGCGTCCATTTGACCCACTAAAAGTTTGTCACTTCTAGTAGGGGAGTCAGAGGACAGCCCAGATTTGTAGTTTCCCAAGTTGATACCAAAAAGGGGATGGAATTTGCTGGTTTCGCATTCGGGTGAGCCACGCCAGCGATGGTTTACAGTTGTCATCCCAGGCTGTGTAGGTGGAATCATATCCCAACCGGACGGAAGGAAACAGGGTTGTGGGATCACTCGGGGTTTATCCAACCACTTCTGTGATACCAGTTGGAATCCCCTCTTTAAATGGCGGGGTAGTCTTTGGGGGACCTTTTTGTTGTATCACAGAAGTGGATTCCATTTCCCACAGCCCTGGAAGGAAACCTCGAACCCAGACTGGGCTTGTAGATGTGTCATGTTTGTTTTTGTTAAATGAAAGCGTGCGAGAGCTTTTTGCCCCCATTTCGCCCAAAAGGAAAGCAGAACGAAAGAACATGTTACACTCCTATGCTTGTTGGTGCGAGGGCACCTTCTTATCAAATCATGTTTGTTGGTGGGATATAGGTTGGCTCCTCCTGCTAGACTTGAAGTGGACATGCATGTTGCGGGAGTCTTACACCCGGGTGAAAATCTCCGGTGCAATTTCTGGGCAGGCAAAGGTATGACAAGCATTCTAGGGGCACCTTCCCCATTCTTTCCAGGGATCCTTCTTTTCAGGAAACCATCAAAATCCCAGGGGAAACAGCCGGTTTTTGAAAAGAACGATGGTTGAAAATTTTGGAAATGGAATCGGCCCCTAGAACCATGGGGAATTGTGCCATCTACGTCCAAAACTTGAAATCTGGTGACCCAAGGAGAAGGCTTTGCCTTCCACTGAAATCATCGGCTGTCAGGAGCTGCATTCTAGCCTTGCGCAACTCCAGGAAAGCGAGGGCCTAAGGCGTCGGTCTTTCCTTTGGTGCATTTTGCTTGGATGTTAGGACTGTGACTTTTTGCCAACTAACGGGTTTTCCATTGGACCACTAAAAGTTAAACTTTTAGCAGGGGAGCAGAAAGCAACCGAGTTTCATGGTTACGAGTGGATCTGTTTTTTTCTTTGGTGATGGCACAATTCCCTCCATGCGGGTTTAAGGGATGGCAAAACCGCAACGCTTCCATCTACTGTCTCCTCACATTTTGTGTGGTCTCAAAGTTTGTTTTCACAGTCGCTTCCCTTCAAGGCATCGTGTAGAGAGTAATATCAAGATGTCACTTGATGGAGCCAGTACCAGAGTTGGCTGCAAAATTGGTTTCAACAGTTCTGCGTTTAAAAAATATATATATATATATATTTAAAAACAAAAAAATCATGAGTTCTGACCAGGGATCCGGTTAAGAGAACCTGCGGATCCTTCCACAGGTGCTATGCTGCTGGGAGGAAATGTAGAGCAAAGGCTGCGCAGAATATAGAGGGGAAAGGGACGACGAATCCAACCAACAGCGGAACAACCTCCTTCTGTTTGCCGTACAAACCACATGTCGCAACACTGTTTGTTTCTTGGCCCAGCAAGCTACCCCTCAACCAAAATTGCCCAGAACCCACCCACACCACCTTTGCTCATATTCCAAACCCTTTGCAAATTGCCCTACCCTGATGTCCGGACTCTATTTGAGCGAGCCGTTTTTGTCCCTGAGTGGAGTTTTGCTGAGGCCAGCTAACAGCACAGGATCAGTTGCCCCTGCGCCAGCTGCGGACCCTGCTCTTGGCAGTGCAGCACGCGCGGGAGGATCGCTCTCGATCAGCTAGAGGGGCATTGGGCCAACTTTGTTGAAGCAACTAGACCCTAGCCCCCTTCAAAGTCGAAGCAACAGGAGGCTTCCATTTGCCTAAGAAAATTGTTTGTTTTCCCCTGTTGGTTTTAAAGGGAATTTATCACTACTGACTGGACATGTTTTTTTTTTTTTTTTCCAGGGGTCTTAACCAAATGGAAGGAAGGAGGCTGTTTGGACGATAAGCTTTTGTGTTTATCGTGTTTGAACGGGGTGACCCAGCCCTCAAGTCTGAGGGGCCGATGCCCAGATTATTTGATCAGCCTGGATTGATCAGCCAGGCGATTGTGGTTTCATGTCCAGGCAAATGAAAGCGACCCCACAAAAGCAGTTTGCAGCATCATCCCACATGAAGGTTCCGTTCTTAGGGGTGTCTATTTGCAGGCCAACAAATGATATACTGATTCCAGGTAGGTGTGTTCCATTCTGCTAAAATCAAGCGATTTACATGTGGGAATTCATCAAAGCGAGAACATTTCGGAAGGAACACCAAAGGGAAACTCGCCAAAAGGCTATCAAGTGAGCGTCAGAAGCCTGAAGGGCACATCCCCTGAGCGGATGCAGCCTCGTCGCTCGATTGCGGTAAGCATGTCGTTTGCAGATGGACTTGGCGACCTTAGCCACGAAGCTTCCTTTCATCGCAAATTGAGTTGGCGAGTTATGATTTGGGCATGGGTCAACATACGGTATGGGTCAAAATTGAACCAATTGGACCGCAGGTGTTAGCTCTTGGTTCCATTTAGCAGGGTTCCATGTTGAGTACCTATTTTTGACCCACACCGAACGATGTGATTGTTCCTTCTCTTCAGTTTGTTCAGGGACTTCTTGAGCTTCGCATCGCGCACCGCGATTGACCCTCCCCGCGGCAGGCCTTTAGCTCAGATCCATCCATTTCCATGAAAGCAGCTACCAAGAAGGAGCTCCTTGGCAGATTTCAGGGCACTCGTTGTCGGTGTCACCATTCGTCTGCAGGCTCGCTATGTCCAGGTCTATGCGTCTAGTTGGCAACGAGCAACTCAAGCTTCAAAGAAAAGCCGTCCAAGCAATCCAAGCAGGTGGTTTTCTTTTGGTGGTTTGTCTTTGAAGCCCAACAATAAGGGGCTCCCCTTTTTTTTGACCCCCCCCATTATTTTTTCGACCCCCCTCCCTTTTTCTAACCCCCCCCACAGTAGCATACCAACCCCCCCCATC